TGCCATGGACTTCTATCATGTGTTTCTGTTTCATCTCCCAACTGGGGAATCTTTCAGGACATTCCAGACAGCAATGGAGCATACACCGCTTTTCAGTTCTCTGATGTACCGCTTTGGCCTCCATAGAGGGGAAAACTGTCTGGCAACGCCTGCAAAACGCCTTGTTTTCCTCGTCGTGTTTAGCCCTTACGTGCTGTACCAGCCCTGTTGCCGCTTTGTAGCTCTTACCGCAAATCTCACAGATGTGATTCTGGAAATGCGTTATCGTGTGTTTGTTGAGATGCAACAACGACGGCAAACTTTTATCGCAAACGGCACACTTCCACGCATCCCTTTGCAGAAGATACGGCATAATCCCCAACTCAGTGTTGAAGTTGAGGGGTTTTCCGTGAATATCTTTTAGATGTTCGGCGATGTCTTTGAGTGTGTTGTATTTTTGTGAGCAGATTCTGCATTTGAGGTCCGCGATGTCCGCTTTGAGCGGTTCTGTTTTTGGGAGCTTGACGAAAGCCATGGCGATCGTAAACGTTTGGTGTTCGTCTGTCATATGCGCGCGAAACTGGTCGGGGTCGTCAAGCAAGTCGCCGCAGTAAACGCACCGCAGCGACTTGAGGTTCACACGGAAAGGATACGCGGTCGTGTTCTTTATGATTATCTCCGCGTTTCTTCTCACGAGGTAGTTTGGCGTGACGTCTAGAAAAGGAAAAAAATGTGTTGTAGTTCTTCGGGTCTGGTACTCACAACGTAGGACACTTGCATTTGGGTCATGCTTTTCCGATACTGCCAAAACACTTGTCACGAAGATGACAAATTTTTCAGTGTAAGTTGTAAAGAAAAGTTATTATGAAAAAAGTAAATGTATATGACGTAAGAGATGCATATTTAGCATCGCCAGTGAGGACAAGGGTTAAATAAAATAGAATAACATATTGGTTTAAGTGTATTCATAAATGATAAAATTATGTGTGGTTTAAATATGGCCGCCAAACCCGGATAGCCTGAGATAAAGTCTAGATTCTAGACTAGAATTGGGTAATAGATGCATTAGATGAAAAGGCATAAGAGCTATTGAATTGCATATTGAGAGAGCTATTATTATGAGATCAGATATGTACCGCATTTGCTTATTCTTCATTAGAATAGTGCGAATCCAGCTTATTTACAGTCTACTTCTAGTAGTAAAAGTTTTCGTATAATGAATCCTACACTACATGCTTCGACATATGCCGCTTTAGCCTATACCGCGATAGAAACTTCAAGCCGCAATGTTTGCACATGGCACAATCCTCGGAATGCTGCAGTTTGAAATGGTGGTAATACGAATTCTCGTTTGGGAACGTGATATCGCAGTCAGCGCATCTATACGTCCTCTTGGACTGGCCATGCTCAACCTCCATGTGTCGTTTCCGTGACTTCCAGTCCACAAACCTCTCGTTGCACTTCGGACAACAATACGGCATGCAAGCCTTCTCTGCTCTACGATGCTTCTCTTTAGCTTCCATCGTGGGGAAGAACTTCCCACATTTCCTACAGGACACCTCGTAGTCCTGATGTTTGGATCTCACGTGGCGCAGCAAACCTGTTGTCGCTACGTAGCTGCACCCGCAAACGTGGCATACATAGCTCAGGAAATGGGTTATCGTGTGTCTGTTCAGATGGAACAACGACGGTAGACTCTTTTCGCAGACCGCGCAATTGTACGTGTCTTTTCGCAAAAGGTACGGCATCACTCCGATTTTCGCTTTGGTGTTAATCTTTTGATTGTGAACTTCGGCTAGATGTTTGGCCATGTCTTCCAGGTTATGTTTTTCGGAGCAGAGTCTACAGCGTAGGTCAGCGAGGTCGACTTTGATAAATTCTGGTTTGGGGAGATTGTGGAATGCGATCTTCAGACTGAAGGTGTCATGTTCATCGTCCATGTGTTTCCTGAAGACGTCTGGGTCATCGTAGAGCTCCTGGCAGTAGACGCACAGTATGGACTTGTCATTGACACGGAACGGATACGCGGTCGAGTACCGCACGATGATTTCCGCGTTCCCCCGCACGGGGTCGTACCGATCGGCTAAAAAAGAAAACATTCTCTTTGTAGGCCTCTGTACATGGAGGTCGGCGGCGGCTTACGGATACGGCGTAGCGGCGAGTTATAAGTATTATCGGAATACTATCCGTTATTCTCAAAGATTGTAACGTTTGTCAAATAAGAGTTGGTATAATTCAATTCAACGTGCTTTTGGGAGCACAAACCCGTGGCGATTAAAGGTCAAAATCCGGTAAATGCTTAATCTAATTAAAATTAAGACTGACACCATAACGCAGCTGTGAAACGTGTACAGTATGCTGTACTTTGGCTACTTTTGAAAGGTTTTGGCAAGGCAACATCACAGCTGTATTAAGAATCAGTTGGTCACTTCAAAGGAGTTGCTGGATCGAATCAGTTCTTGAATCCTGAGTATTTCAGCTATACTTCAAACATCTCTCTCGCTCTTTCTTGACATATTCGTTCTAACAACTCGAATGAAGTGCAATCGGAATACCGTTATCACATGGAAATGTCTCTTTCTTACAAGAAATAGTTTTTACTATTGATTATAACTTTTTCAGAGCTACAATCAACATGAACAGAGCTCTCTTATCAAACTACATGGCTAACACTTACCCATTGCATTCGGGAGCAAGGGAGCAGGGGATCGAACCCTGTACAACACATGATGATTTGTTGACTCGATGATTTTGTAGTCGCTGCTAAAATCACCTATCTGATAGGAAATCTCAAGGTTCTAACGCTCGTAAAGAAAATGTCTTTGTTTTCTTTTAAAAATGTATGCAATTTTTCTCAAAAATCTGGCGACTAGGTAAAGAATAAACAAACATCATAGAAAAAACCCATGAACCCACCTTTACCCCCACGGGATTCGAACCCACGCATTATTGTAGGCCATGCGGTATTATACTAAGGAAGTAAGACTTCCTTTTCAATCCATGATTAAAGTTACTTTTTCTATTGCTTTTATACAAGAAAAAAAATATTTATTATTTCCTTGAAATGGAACCCTAATGCATCAACAAAAACTATTTTCAATAATGTTTATTGCATAAAAAATAATCTTTGTAGATCCGCTGAAGTGTGAAGATGATGCTATAATACCTATAGGAATCCCTATGTCAAACGAATATTTTTTATGTGAAATTACATAGAATCGTACATCATTATCGCCTTTTTACATGTGAATAGTAAATATGAATAAAAATAACTCTTATTCTTCGTAATGTACAGAAAAACAGAATTCGTCTGACATAGGACTAAAAAATACATAGAAATAGAAAACAAGAAGAAAAAATAGCTCTGCATGTCTCAACCAATGTGAATAAATATTAGCATGTCTGAAATTATTTACGGTTTTTTCGCGCAATGTAATATTTAATAAACATACATGTCAATATTATGCATATCTTTTTAAGATGGAGCACAAAGCTAGTGTACAATGTGATTCTAGTTTATAAAATCGATGTAAAAATAGGTACAGTCAGCTGCAAACAGTTCGTGACACCCAAAGTGGCCAAAAGTTGACAACACAACCTTATTCCAATTGTAACAAAGAAGTGTTGCGACTTTTTGGCTACTTTGGGTGTCACGAACTATTTGACGCTAAGGCCCAGAACAGACGGTGAAACGCAACTGCAACGAAACTGCTAGTTACTTTTGAGTTGCATCTAAGTTTCTGCCATAGCGTCCGTTGAGAGACCACACATGACGCGACCAGTTTGAAACTTACAGTTTCAGTTTCATTCATCAGAATCATCACAAAGTTGCAGTTTCGTTGCAGTTGCGTTTCACCGTCCGTTCTGGGCCTAACTGTACCTCTTTCTTGTCACTCGATAAAAAAAACTAATTCAAGTAAATTAATTTAAAACGTCACACTGATCGAGACATTCTTCTATCCTGAGACACGTCCATATGATCAAACTATGCTAGAAAAAACACAACTTATTTACAGTGGTATTGGTAGATATTTTGCAAGGATAGCTTTCTTGCAATCTTGGAATTCCAATCATCGAAAATATTTCATGGAAACAGTAGAAATGTGTAGTAGTTATCAGGTGTCATAAAATAATACTTGTATTGGAAAAAAATACCTATTATTAAATAAATAATTTTCATTATGTATCTTTACAAATATTATACTGTACTTTAGTTTTCTTTCGCCAAAAGGATCCGACGAAAACTATACTTGATTTCAATTCCCAATCAGTATGAGAAGACTTGTCTAAATTGACTCAGTTCTGACTAAACATTCTGAAAAAAATTACAGCAATAACTAAATTATCCAGCAATTTAACAACAATATGATATTGTTAAAAGTAGGTATGAAAAACAAGTGTGTAAATAAATACAGTTTACTTACACACAGCAAAAAATATTCTTTACAAGATTTATTTGATTCATATCGATTTAGAAATAATCAATATGTTTTTTTTTATTACTTTCCTAATAAATGATTAATGAGTGTTGGTGTGCGTGTGTGTGTGCGTCCATTGCAAGATATCTGCCAATAAACAGTCGGTAGAAAGAGTTGCCATCAATTACCATTTTGTATTTTTTAAGAAGAATCTACAGCTTCTTTGTTTTCGTATTTACCCACCATTTAACAAAATAGCTTTTTTTGGAGACCATGGCTGTCATAGTCGTCGAAAATATTTCTATCGCCCATATTTGACTATTTAATCTGTCACTGTTCATAAAAATCCAAAAATATTAAAATACTAATATCGATTGAATTTTTAGTTGAGTTTTGAGTTTCATTACATAATTTGTACGACTATGAGCCTTAATTAAATACATTTACTGCGAGATATTCAACTTATTAGCAGTTATTTTTTATGGGATAAAAGGAATAATAAATTATTTGTCAAGTCTTCAAAACAGGACACAAGAAGACCTAAACCGGCAATTCACAGCAACTCCCATCTCCGACCACAAAACATTTCAAACTGATGCCTACCTTTCTTCTTCTTCTCAGTCGGCTTGGCCGCCTTGCTGGTGGTGGCTTTGACCACTTCTTTCTTGGTCTTGGCCTTTTTGGCAGGGCTTGTTTTGGCCTTGGTGGTGGCTTTGCGTTTCTCCGGCTTGCTATCCGCGTCAGCGTCTACGGATTCTTTTTTGGGAACCCTGGTTGCTAGCCGGGTGAGGGGCTGGTCGTCGACTGGAATGGAAGGGACTTGTGAACACGGCGGCTATAGATTATTATTAGAGATGGGCCGACTAGTCGCCGACTAGTCGGGAAAGCCGACTAATCGGCATCATTTGTAGTCGGCCGACTAGTGACGACTATTCGGCAAAATCTGCCGATTATAATCGGCGCATTAAAAAATTAAATATATGAATGAAATAAAACTCATAATTATCAAGATGATTATGAGGTGGACCAAGGGCGTTTATCTAAACCATTTTTGACTGCAAAAAATCGGTAAAAGGTGGTTTCACCTGATTTAAAATTTTGGCAATCAGTCTAAATTCATAAAAAGTAAAGATTAGTTAAAATTACCAGGAAATCATCAAAAATGTGTAAAGTTTCTGAAATTTGTCCATAAAAAAATTGACACTTTTTTTCGAGGAAAAAATGCATGGAATTGCATACCTATCCTGCGGGGAAGTGGATTATGTGGAGCTCCTCTCATCGGAAGGATGAGGAATACACACATAAATAACCCCTGAACTCCGTCGATCGCCTTAGTGTGAAGAACTATGGGAATTCGGACAAAACCATCAACTATCGCAGTCTGTGCCAGCAATTGGCGGGCCCTGCCTATTGACGGTGGTGGTGGTGGTAGTCCGTGCTATGTAGGCGGGGGTACCCTCACGCCCCCAGCTTCTGACCATCACCATGGAGGGTGGAGAGAAATCAGTGGGCCTAAGTTGCGTGCCGCGATAAGCGCAGTTTGCTCATACATTTTGACGTCTATAAGTAAGAATAACATCACGGTGCGCATCCTAGCTCAGCAGGAGGCGATCATTTTGTCACCTCCTCTGACCCCTCCGCCGTCCAAAATTATGACATCTACCTTAGGTACTGTTAGGTGATTGTAATGTTGCTTTTGATTTTTTCTCATATTAAAGAAATCTCATTTCTCAAGAAGTTTGTATTTATCTCTTTAGAAATCTAGATATTGTTATTTCTTTGAGAAATCTAGATATTACTCTTCGGACAAGTAGGTATTAGAATGATCGGCATTGCCGACTAGTCGGCCGACTAATCGGCAATTTGAAAACCGATTAGTCGGCTAGTCGGTTAGTCGGCAAAGACCATAGTCGGCCCATCACTAATTATTATTATAATAGGGAAGTTTTCTGGGTAAAAAAGCAAGAGTTTTAATTAGTCCGTCAGTTAGCCTATCAAAAACTACTCGACACGTATTTCTCAGTTTTTAAAACTAATGAAAATTTAAAGAGTTAAAGCGTGCCTAAGTTCTAAAGAAAAGGCCCGTGACGTCAGTGAGTGCGTAAAAGTGCAGCACTTTGTGACGTTGCGCGGAACTTCAACGCACTATAGCTTTGTAATTATTTGTTTGATTAACAATTCAAAAAATAACTGTCCTACATTTTTTTAAATTAAAATTGACGGACTAAAAATTTTTTTTTAGGAAACTAGCCTATTGGCCTGTTTGTTGTATTTATGCAAATAGTAGAAAAAGATGTACACTTTAACCGCCAGTAGGCTATTTTGACATCTGCTGTATTTCACAAAACATCAAAATATTGTTTTAAACATTTTAAATGGTGTGTCATAGGGTGACGGAATGAGAGTATCGTGTCTTGCAAGCGACTTGCAGCGGAGTTGGATGCAACCCCACGCGCCGCTGAAATGACTCGGCATTTAAAATAACGATGACAAAAGTTACCCGTGCGCGCGAGCCCTAATGGTGGTTCATTTAGAAGTAAAACCGAAAGCGACAAATATACAAGAAAGGTATAAACGACGGTACTTCATGCTGAACACCTTGCATCTTACGAAGTAAAACATGATACAAGTTGTACCGTCTTCTGAAAATAGTAGTAAACTAAAACACTTACGATCATCATCATCGTCATCTAGGTCTGGGAAGTCGGTCCTGTCTCCAAAGTCATCGCCGTCGCTCTCATCTTTCTCCGTCTTCACTTGTTCCACCTTCACCTCCGTTTCCAGGGATTCCAGGGTCACTTCGATGCGGGATTCTGCAGAGGAACACACAATTATTGGACACCATTCAGACAGCTAATGTGGGCTATCGTTTTGACGCACCTCCGTTGGCGCAACTGTAGAGTCCACTATCTCTAAAGTCCTGTCGCCGAGCAGATAGAATTTCGTCCAATGACCCCAAGCTATCCGTCCTTATAACACGCACGTTATTATATTGCTGTCGCGACTGTGCGACGGGCGGCCGCAGTGAGTGTGCGAGCGCGACAGCAATACAATTACCGCGAGCGATAACGATGGGTAGCTAGGGGTTAGCATAGGTCTAGCATCTTGGACTATCAGATTCTGCCCTAGATTACGATAGAGATCTCTAGAACATCTAAAGCCCGGTCTGTAAGCACGTAGAATTTTGTCCAATGACCCCAAGCTACCCATCCTTATCGCTCGCGCGTAATGACATTGCTGTCGCGACTGTGCGACGAGCGCCCGCAGTGAGTGTGCGAGCGCGACAGCAACATAATTACGCGCGAGCTTGGGGTCATTGGACAAAATTCTACGTGCTCACAGACCAGACTATAATAGACTTACCAGTCTCAAAATCCGATAGCCGTTCAGTCCCAGGGTCGAGGTACTGCATGAACGTCTTCTCGCACTCTTGCACCTGACGCTTGAAGTCCGACGCATCTCGCAACCGGGATATGCACGGCTCGCAGATGAGACGACTGTTGCTGTTCGGGCCACCGGATGTGGAGTAGGCGATCTGGGACAAATTGATAAGGTTTTGAATGGCACATTTATTTATTTGAAAATCTATACTAATTAATATTATAAATGCGAAAGTAACTCTCGTCTGTCAGTCTTGCTTTCACGCCTAAACCACTGAACCGATTTTGATGAAATTTGAAATAGAGATAGTTTGAGTACCAGGAAAGGACATGATATCAGGGATGCGCGCGATAAAGTTTTTCTGTGACAGACAAAATTCCACGCGGGCGAAGCCGCGGGCGGAAAGCTAGTCATACAATAAAGTAAAGTTATTAATATGATTTATGTCACTAATTGAGACTTGCCAATCTATTTTGCGTAAAGCGTAGGACGTCCACCCACAAGGTAGACTAACGACATCAAGTAGCAGGAAGGTGTTGAATGCAGGGCGCTACCAACCGGCCTTTGTGGAAATCATTGGGCCTAGGTTCAGCAGTGGACATTCTATAGCTAAATTGATGAATCTCTTTTTCTTATGCATTGGAATGAAAAAATTGGGACTCGGATAATCGGATTGTTTACATGATCGCATATCATGGATTTTCAGACTATGTTGTTTTAAATTATCATCATCATCATTTCAACCATAGGACGTCCACTGCTGAACATAGGCCTCCCCTAATGCTTTCCACGTTGATCGATTGGTAGCGGCCTGCGTCCAGCGCCTCCCTCCGCAACCCTCAGCGCGTACCGGAAAACGCAGTGTGTGACGTCCACCTGCAAGGTGGACCGACGACATCGTAAAGGTTTTAAATTAACCGGGAATTAACCTTTAACTGGTGACATGGTTTTTGTGTAACGTAACTGGTGACGTACGGTCCGAGAGGCCGCTACCGTATCAAGACTGTAGCATAGAAACTAGGTAAGGTAGCATACCACAATCTTTAAAAACAGATTATTAGCATATAGAAGAATTAAATTGAAATAAAATAATAAACTCTAAATATGATTCTTAATGCAGAACTTGCTGTTAATTTATATGTAGTAATAAAAATCAAAAAACTAGAGATGAGATCGATAATCGCAAATAAAGAAATTTAAATCAACAAATTATAACAAAATTAGTATTTTTTATTATAGTTCCAATGATAATCAATTTAAAAAAACCTTTTACACATAGGTAACCTATAATTTTAGAAAACTGGCAGTGGTGAAACTTTAGTATTTTTTATTGGCTGTCAGGACATTTATTGTTTGGCATAAAAGTGGACCGTCATTTTCAATTTCTGACTGTTTCTCGTCAATTGGTCCTTTATCTTCAAAAACACTTTCTTTGGCTTCCAAATCATGGTCACTTTGCTCCAGAACGATGTTTTCAGGAACATATTCGGCTTCCGACCCAATTGAGTCTTCCTTTTCCGGATATTTTTCAACTAGCGAATTTTCAAGTCGTTTCATAAAGTATGGTACTATATTCCCAACTAATGATCCTACGCTTCTTTTTTGGAGTTATTTAAGTATCAATTTCAAGTAAAAACTGTAAAAATACGAAAAAACTGTATGAAAAAAATGTCACGTAACTGGTGACATGCGGTCTGAGAGACCGCTGCCGAACTTTACATCGATGTAACTTGCCGATTTGGAGCTGAATGATGCAAATATCCTTATCTACGCCGTAGACACAACTAAACTTGAAGCTACTGAAGCGGTGAAACATTGGAAGTACGGGGAAGGGGGTGAAACGATGTTTCACTGATGCCGCCCGGCCTGTGAGACCGCTTGTCACCAGTTAAAGGTTAATACACAAACTGATTTGCCAACTTGTCTGTCTGGCACCGCCTGTACCCTTGGGTACAGACTGTCCCAGTCGGTCAGGATCATGATAACAATCCAACTCTGACTGATAGAACTTAACTTTGTTCTTTCCATGATCATATTGAATATTGAATAGTTTGTTATAGATACAAATGTAGGCAGACTAAGAACCATGTTTAAGTTAAAAATATCCTAATGGAGAGTCCCTTGCCCCAATGTGTTTTTTAAATTGATTAATTGAAGACTTAATGTGAAAAATCTATAAATTCTTAATACATTTTAGTATAGTAGTAGCAGCCTCTTAAAGCTAAGCATAGGGCCAATAGGGCTTAGAATGTTAACAATTTGACTGTTTTCTTCAATGATACAGCCCTATTTAATTTATATTACTGCTTAGTTTCTGATTCTCATGGTGATAGCTTTATTGATAGCTTCAAACAACAATTTTATCAAAAAAACATCAACGAAAAAGATGGCGTTCTGAGGGCCTACAGACAGCTTTATTGATTTTTACTACCCGACCCAATTGAGACTACATCACAAGCGCAGCCCGGACAACGATGCGCATGCCATCCCAATTCAGCAGCATTATCAATGAAAGCCAACTCCTGCATGAAGAAAATGGACGCCATCATGGCATCACAATACTTACGGATAAGCTGAAGGTCTCCGAGAGCATCTCTGAATACACCTCCCGCTTGCCCATCCAAAAATATTCAGTAGAAATGTCTTTGTAACAGCCTTCAGACAAACAACAACGGCAGACCGTAGGGCCCGGTCGCCAGTCGGTGGTTTTCGCTGCCATTTTCACTGCTATAGTTGTTCTATCACGGCTAATTCAATTAACATAATAATTGTATGTCACTAACTAATATTAATAACTATTAAAACTGGCTTGAAACTAATTATTTTACATTTACACATCACAAAAATGGAGAACCGACGCCATCGGCGAAAAGCGGCTGGATTGCTAGTGATGGGAAACTGACGGCGGCAAACTGACAAGGGGGAGAGTCGAACATTGAATCAATATTTATTTTTCTTCGATTGTAAATACTCGATTAAGAAGAAAAAATTGAAAATAGACGAAAACAGGGATTCTTTAGCAAAAAAGCTAAGGTAAAGTTCTCCAGAGCCTCATTTTTTTATATTTACTTCATAGAAATGCTACAAAGTTGTATGTGATTGAACTTATTTAAACAAAGAGCTGATTGCAAACGAAGAAAATGCTGTAATTAATCTTTACACATTTAACGCTGCTAAGCATTTCTAAACTATTTTCTTACACAATAAAACACATATTGGCAGTGTATAATTGATTTTTATTTTGGTAAATGCGGTAAAAACGGGCGTGTCATCATTCCAGCTGATCCAGCATTACTGACTGATGTTTCGCTCGTATGTGATGCTTCAGATTATTGCTTTGTGTATACGACGCGCTGCAAATCGCGCATTTGTACTTTTTCTCACTGTCGTGCGACTGCACGTGGACGCGTAACGCGCGCATCCGTGGGTAACTCTTCCCGCAGTATTCACATCTGAAGTTCCTCTCACCAGTATGTGAGGCCATGTGGTCTTTCAACGCAGACGGCAAATAAAACTTTTTTTCGCAAACATTACACTCGTGCTTTAAAACTTTCAAATGATTCTTCCTATTGTGTTCTCTGAGAGACTTTCTCGTATCGTACACTTTATCACAATGTTCGCACGGAAACGTTCTCTGTTCTCCGTGTACCTCTATCATATGCCGGTATCTTAAACTGTGCGAAAATAACACTTCGTCGCATTTATAACAAGGGTACGCTGGCTGTTCGCTGTGAACCCGCGATATGTGGTAATATCTACCGTGTTTTGATTTAAAAACTCTTCCACAGTCTTTACAGGGATACGTGTCTTCAGTCTTTTGAGGTTGATGCGATTTTTGGTGAATAATCAACTTCCCTTCTTCGAAAAAATGCGCTCCGCATATATCGCATATCCACGTCCCGAAATGCTCTGCCATGTGTTTTTTTAATGCGTGAAAATACGTAAAAATATTCCCACATTCGAGACACGATAAATTACCCAATTTTAATCGAAATTTCAAAAACTCATTCTTGATGTTTGGGTATAGCATTTTGTCGTGAAAACTAGTGATGTGACTGTAGAACTCCTCCAAATCATCGATAGGTTTTGGACATAATCGACAGTCTATTCTTGTAATGTCTATTAGTAGCGATTTCTTGTAAGTAACTGTGTCTTGGTATGTAGTAGGGTCATGCGTTAACGTGTGCTCTCTTAATTTGTCCGGGTCTGTATACAATTCTTTGCAATATACGCAGTGGTAGTCGCTGAAGGTAGTGACGAATGGACAAACGTACGAATTGACTACTAAAGTTATTGTGTTGTGGAATGCTTTAGCGCTGTTTGACTTCCAAGGCCGCACCGCTGGCGGCATTTGAGGCGGCATAAGGTCCATATCTGTAAAAAAAATTAAGAAAACGTTATTTAAAATATCGATAAAAATCCGACTTGTAAACAATGCATTACATCACTAAAATTGGCAAAAGAATTAAGGACGAAGCACACCTATCAACCCGGAAACGGATCGTAACCGTATCAACTCGAGGCGGTGAGGATTCTTTGTATGAAACTCCGTACTGCAACGCACACTTATCCGCATCGTAAAGTAAGCGCTTCGCCTCACGGCGAAAGGCAATACGGTGTTGACCCCTTTCCAGGTTGAAGTGTGCCTTGGGCCGTGCGAGTTCGATTTTTTTAAGTCCTAACGAAGACCCTTCAGTAGTGCGCAAGAATCGAAAGTTTGAAACCCTGTCGACTGCTGCGACGGGCTGTGAAATATGAAAATGCCCGCTCTTTTCGATTTTTTTGTTTTTTCCACTTTGTTCGATTTGGTGTTTCTTCTGGGGGCGAAGTGTGAGTTTACGTCAAACGTATTCGATGTCGACTGCTTATGAGATGTGAAATTAAATGTATGACGGATTGAAATGTATGACGGATTGAAATGTATGACGGATTGTACAGCGCCCCTAGCGGAAACTTTCAAAAACTAAAATCTTCATACATTTTTTAACTCAGTCGGTATCGAATGCGTTTCATGTAAACTCACACTACGCTCTTATTGTCAGTTTTGTGCAGTTTAAAATAAAATTATTTTAACACAAATACCGACTTCTGAAGCGAATCTGAAGCGTCATGTTAGCGGTTTTGTTTTATTTCCTCAAATTCGTGTTTGGCGACTATTAATGTGTAATAATGGTGGATTATTAACCATTAAGTGTTCGTGAACGTGCATGAGTGTGGGCGAGTGAAGCAAAACAGTGCATCGTGATTCTTCTAGTTCTCTCAAGTTGTCCATAGGAGGTCGCAGTAAAGCACCACAACTTTGCTGAGACTCAAAGGGTGGGAAGTATCATCTATCATCCTTCATTATATCATTACTTGATCTCATTTTGTAACTCGTATCAGTATCACATAAATGCTTGAAAATGGCACAAATCAAGTCGACTTCGACGTGTATTGCCAACATCATCAAAAAAGAAGAAGAAGAAGCCACCAGCGCGACCAGTTTGAAAGTTTCAAACTGGTCGCATCATGTGTGGTCTCTCAACGGACGCTATGGCAGAAACTTAGATGCAACTCAAAAGTAACTAGCAGTTGCAGTTTCGTTGCAGTTGCGTTTCACCGTCTGTTCTGGGCCTAAGGCCACCACCGCGACCAGTTTGAAAGTTTCAAACTGCTCGCGTCATGTGTGGTCTCTCAACGGACGCTATGGCAGAAACTTAGATGCAACTCAAAAGTAACTAGCAGTTGCAGTTTCGTTGCAGTTGCGTTTCACCGTCTGTTCTGGGCCTAAGGCCACCACCGCGACCAGTTTGAAAGTTTCAAACTGCTCGCGTCATGTGTGGTCTCTCAACGGACGCTATGGCAGAAACTTAGATGCAACTCAAAAGTAACTAGCAGTTGCAGTTTCGTTGCAGTTGCGTTTCACCGTCTGTTCTGGGCCTAAGGCCACCACCGCGACCAGTTTGAAAGTTTCAAACTGCTCGCGTCATGTGTGGTCTCTCAACGGACGCTATGGCAGAAACTTAGATGCAACTCAAAAGTAACTAGCAGTTGCAGTTTCGTTGCAGTTGCGTTTCACCGTCTGTTCTGGGCCTAAGGCCACCACCGCGACCAGTTTGAAAGTTTCAAACTGCTCGCGTCATGTGTGGTCTCTCAACGGACGCTATGGCAGAAACTTAGATGCAACTCAAAAGTAACTAGCAGTTGCAGTTTCGTTGCAGTTGCGTTTCACCGTCTGTTCTGGGCCTAAGGCCACCACCGCGACCAGTTTGAAAGTTTCAAACTGCTCGCGTCATGTGTGGTCTCTCAACGGACGCTATGGCAGAAACTTAGATGCAACTCAAAAGTAACTAGCAGTTGCAGTTTCGTTGCAGTTGCGTTTCACCGTCTGTTCTGGGCCTAAGGCCACCACCGCGACCAGTTTGAAAGTTTCAAACTGCTCGCGTCATGTGTGGTCTCTCAACGGACGCTATGGCAGAAACTTAGATGCAACTCAAAAGTAACTAGCAGTTGCAGTTTCGTTGCAGTTGCGTTTCACCGTCTGTTCTGGGCCTAAGGCCACCACCGCGACCAGTTTGAAAGTTTCAAACTGGTCGCGTCATGTGTGGTCTCTAAACGGACGCTATGGCAGAAACTTAGATGAAACTCAAAAGTAACTAGCAGTTGCGGTTTCGTTGCAGTTGCGTTTCACCGTCTGTTCTGGGCCATAAATAAAAATATTTTAACACACATACCATCATTCTCCAACTGCTTAAGCTCGTCCTTCATCTTCTTGATCTTGACCAGCATTTCCTTCTTGGCGCGGGTGTCGCTCGCCTTGTTCCGTTTTGATCTGCGTTTTGTTTCTTTAACTTCGGCCTTCCACGTGTCTACTTTCACGTCTAGTGGGACTGCAAAGAAAAGAGATACATGTATATTAATTTACTTAAAATAAATTATTAGAATAAAACTTTATTTGACACAAGAAACATTTTTGTTTGGGCCGAAATGACACACACTTAGAATATACCGCCAGCTAAGTGCGTGGCTCGACACTAATTTTCAGTGGACTTAATTTATTAAAAACATATTATTAATAAATTCACTAGAGGCACAAGAACAGGACACTCCTACTTTTAGCATTTTCGGAAGCTTATCACAGTGACAGCAACGAAAATCGCAGATCACCGATGCTAAAATAGCATGTATGCTGTGGCCCTATCATTACATACAAAACAAAGTGTTCTACAGCGTCCGTCCATTCACTACCAAATGGATTTCCCTGTTTTGAGACAAAAAAAAACTTTATATCTATTAACTTACTGTTATCATCATAGTGGTCTGTGTGGTCCATGGCCTCTGGCAGTGAGTCGCAGATGTCATCGTCAGCTTCTATCTTTATGTCTAGCTCTTGCTTTATCAGTGCGTCATCTGGAACGAAATTATTTCACTTGAAGATTCACAAATCATTTAAATGAGATAGTTCTTCATTGAATAATTGGATGGATTTATCATAGGTTCTTCCCGCGACCTTCACCAGATCCTCGGTCCACCTAAAGGGGGGCCTGCCCACACTACGTCTTCCGGCCTGTGGATGGAAAGAATCTGGATGCGGGCAGCGCAGGACCGGTCTTTATGAAAATCCTTGATGGAGGCCTATGTTCAGCACAGCAGTGAACGTTCTGTGACTGATTGATGATGATGATTCATAAGAAAATAAAAAAGTTGAGCCATCTGAGCTCTGAGCAAATAGATAAACCTCAAAAGATTATCTGTTTACTGAATTAAATTGAGAATGAATCAATTAACTAGGCTTCCTGATGGTAGAAACGTAAAATTTAAAAAAACAATCTTTATAAGTTACTAGCGGTCGCCCGTGACTCCCTTAGAACCCCCATGCAAAATTTGAGACTCCTAGCACTTGTAGTTTCGGAGAAATTTGCACCATTGAAGCCATTAGACAGAATAATAACAATAGTTTCGGAGTTTTCGTGATAAGTGAGTCAGTAAGAACATCAGTGACCTTTCGCTGATACTGATAATTACCGCTGGCCAGCTGCGCTTGCAGCAGCTTCTGCTCGCACTGCAGCACCTGGCGGCGGAAGGCGCAGGCGTCCCGCAGCCGCGACACGCACGTGGCACAGATCGCGCGCTCCGCTGGCTCCCCGTCTAGGTGGGACAGCTGAAACGAACAGGAGAAACACATTTTGATAAAAAAATTCAATGAAGAATGACTTAATTAAAGCCCTGTCCGTAAGCACGTAGAATTTTGTCCAATGACCTCTAGCTACCCATCCTTATCGCTCGCGCGTAATTATATTGCTGTATATTGCTGTCGCGACTGTGCGCAGTGCGACTGGCACCCGCAGTGAGTGTGCGAGCGCGATAGCAACATAATTACGCGCGAGCGATAAGGATGTGTAGCTTGGAATCATTGGACAAAATTCTACGTGCTCACGGACCAGACTATAGTACTGGGCAAACTTCTAATCAGCAAATAATGCAACATGGAAAGCATTGGGGGAGGCCTATGTTCAGCAGTGGACGTCCTATGGCTGAGATGATGATGAAACTTCCTAATTTCACTGTCTCTTTAAACACTCGACATTGGCGAAATCACCATTGAAGTCATTGAACAGAATAATAATATTAAACTCATTTTGAGAACGACGACGTGAGATTCTTGTGCTGCTTCTTTTCAGCACTGGCCCATTTATAGGACATGTAAAACTAAAAGCGCTTTTGCAGAATTTGAAGAAAAACCAAATTGCAGAAAATTACTTTTATGACTTAATTTAATTTTTATTTACGTGTCCTGTCTTTAACTGTGGAAAAAATAGACACGATGCTTTTACATTGTTTTTTTGTATTATTTTTTGGAAAATTAACAAAGCATTCAATGTTTGGAAGAATAAATGCTCATGTAAAGTAATCACAGTAAAAGTTTAAAAATGTTCCCTTGTCAGCCAGTCAGGTTCGAAAGTGTGCAAAAATTCTATGAAATTAATAATGTTTAATGCTAGAAAATCTATAAACAGAATCTAAGTAGGTAAGTATTTTTAACCAGACACTACAAACTTTCAGGAAAAAGAATAAAACAGGACAAGTCAATCTACTTTAATAGTTTTGTCTTGCTAAAAATACATTTAACATAGAATTTTCAGCATGTATGCCCCAGCACATTTTGAGGGGTTACAAGACAACAATATTATGAGTAATATTCAATAAATTTACTCACACAAAGCCCGAAAGAGTCCAAAAACATATCAGCATACACCTCCTTCTCCCCGCACCAAATGTATTCAACATTAAGCAGTCTACATCGCTTTACCAGACCGCAGCACCTGCATAACCCTGCCTCTATCACAGGACCTTTCTTCGAGATATTCACTTCCATAACTTTTAAATTATTTAATGTAAAAACGAAAATAATTCTGCGAAAACTCAATCAACTTCAGTCAATAACATAGACTAGTGATGTTCCATGTTATAGCTTTATTAAGTCGATAGATAGAATGTTAACGATTTTATTCAGTCTATTAGAGTATCAATAATATTTTTGTGGTATCATAAAAAAGGTACATAAAACAGGCTAATTCAAGAAAAATCATGTTTGTTGTAGTCAGATGGATGGTGAATTATTAATTTTTATTTCATAAACCTGTAGATTATTTTTACAGACGTAATTAATGAATAATAATATCTTACTATTTAAAATTCTATGGTAATTTAATAATAATTGACTGGTTTTGAAAGACGGTTTTTGTTGTGGATAAACATTATTTTAAATATCGATAAAGTAGTGGGTAACATCCCTATGCGGCAGGAAGTGACACTGACAGTTTACTTTTTCTTTACTAGTGCAGCAAGTACTCGATTTTAGTTTCATCCATTTTTTATACAAATCTCAAAAATATTTAAAATACAATTATTATACAATAATATTACACCAAAATTAACTATCAATATCGCGTCGGCTAATTATACCAATTGTAAGAAAGCTGAAAATATAATTTTCAGCTTTTTAATGTATTTCCGTGTCCAACGGATAGATGGCGTTGTGCTGATTTAGATCGCGGCTTACGTGCTCTGTGCGTCGATCAAAAAAGTGCCATTTGTCTAGCTCTAGCTAGCTAGACCCACTGAAGCAAATAATTACTTTACTCTTTGCACTGAAGTTTCCCGTAAGCTACATGACAGGACCAAATTCCCAAATTCTGCCAACTTTTTGTATAAATTAAATGATGTTGAAACATTGTTAAACACATAAAATAAATGTAAGCTTAGTCCAAGATTTTAAAGTAAAACAACGGGCTGTTTTAAAATAAGTAACTTTTAATAAACAGTTATAAATTATAATACAGTAGACATTGATCCTGCAATGAAACTATCTCTGTATCGTAAGACAAAGTCCTCCTCAAAGTCAAGAATCTCCTTTGTCCCGCCAAGCATCATCATGAAGCAGAGGCGGGGCAAGACCTAAATTTGATGTGGGCAAGACAGATTTCGCGAGGCCTTGTTCTGTGGCGACCTGAAGACGGATTTTATGAAATAATAAAAAAAAGGGTCAAAGGTCTATACATTGACAGTTTCTGATTTCTTGATTCAGTGATTATTTTTAAAGGAATATTGCGCCAAAGAATAATGTTCGTCACTTAAAACCGTGTTGTTGCTTAATTTTGTGTCTGATTATGGCTGAATTTGTTTGGAAAAAAATATATTTTTATTTTTAACTACATTGTTTAGCTATCAAGAATTTATATTTAATAGTCAATGTTCGTATTGTGATATTGTCATCTCCACCTTGTATACATTTNCAATATTTTTGTTTGCCATGAGATTCTGGTACACCTATACTATCGGATATCCGAAATAAAAAAATACCCATAACCGTAACCGAAACTGATTCAAAAGTTACGGATAGTTTCGGATAAAGGCGGAGTCTTAAGTAAGGGTACAATAAATTCCAAACAGAAGCATTATTCAGGGTTACATAAAAAAAACAGAGGCGGGGCAAGACCTAAATTTGATGTGGGCAAGACAGATTTCGCGAGGCCTTGTTCTGTGGCGACCTGAAGACGGATTTTATGAAATAATAAAAAAAAGGGTCAAAGGTCTATACATTGACAGTTTCTGATTTCTTGATTCAGTGATTATTTTTAAAGGAATATTGCGCCAAAGAATAATGTTCGTCACTTAAAACCGTGTTGTTGCTTAATTTTGTGTCTGATTATGGCTGAATTTGTTTGGAAAAAAATATATTTTTATTTTTAACTACATTGTTTAGCTATCAAGAATTTATATTTAATAGTCAATGTTCGTATTGTGATATTGTCATCTCCACCTTGTATACATTTTTTCAAAATTTTTGATGCGCGAGGCCCCTTGTACCGCGAGGCCGTAGGCGGTGGCCCACATCGCCTACGCCTTACGCCGCCTCTGTCATGAAGGTTTGAATGGATATAATTGTCCCAATACTCCATAACACAGCCCCCACTGTATTTCAGAAATGTAAAGATTCAATATTCGTTTTCTCAATCAGGGAGAGAAAAGGAAACCTTCCGATCCTCAAGGCCCTTGCGAATTGTGCGATTGAATATGTATCTTCAAATAATGCAGCCGAGGATAGCTCTTCCCACATATATCGCAATGGAAACTCTTTTCGTTCCTGTGTATCGACATAACATGTTCGTTTAACCGAGACGGTTGCGCGAAACCCCGATCACAAATACCACATTTGTGCTTAAAAATTTTCAAATGTACCGTCCGATTATGCTCCCTAAGGTTCTTTTTAATAGTGTACACTTTCCCGCAGATGTCGCAAGGAAATATTTTGGCTTCCCCGTGAACATCCAACATGTGTTTGTAACGGTCTTTATCTGAAAACAACACAGCATCACATTTGCTGCACTGAAAGGCCGCTTCTTTCTTATGCACGCTGGAAACGTGAAAGAACATTGTATGCTTGCTTTTGAACAGCTTCCCGCATTCGTGGCACGCGTATCTCTCGTCCGATTTGTGAGAATTTCGTGTATGCAACTCCAAAGATCTTCTGTCGAAGTAATGCGCCCCACAGGCATCGCAGACGAAGGAACCGAAATGCTCGGCCATATGCCTTTTTAATGCGTGAAAGAACACAAAAGTTTTGTCGCACTCCGTGCAGGATATCGTGTCGCTTTTGAGTCGGAACTTCAAGATTTCTTCTTTGATGTTATTCACTACCTTCCCATGTACATCTTTAATGTGTGTCTTAAACGAGTCCATATCTAATATTTTAGTTTCACAATGCCTGCAGTCAATTCTTTCTATGTCAATGTACGTTGCTTTTCTTTTGCTGAACACGTTTTTGAAAGTTTTCGGATCATGCTTCGAGGTGTGGTCTCTGAGTTGGTTCGGGTCCGTGAACGTAGCCTTGCAGTAGACACAGAAGTAAGTGCTGTAAGAAGTCTGGAAGGGACAGACGTAGGAGTTTTCGACGATGGTGACCGCGTTTTGGAACATAAGAGAGTCTTCGTCGACGAATTTGTCGCGTACCGGCGGTTTGAGTTTTGGTTTTGGAAGCTTTTCTGCAAGAAAGATAGATGAAACACTGAATTATTAAAACAGGGAAAGAAAGAAACACACAATTTAGGTGGTAGCTTATTGCTATGAAGCGATCTCTTCCAGACAGTCTAGGGAGAGGACAACTGTTTTAAAACTAAAAGGGAAGTTGCTTTGTAAGTGCGAAGCAGAAAAGCGTTACTGAAAGAAGAGGCCCGTGACTTCAAGGCGTGCTTAAAAGTGTAGCACTTTGTAACGTCACGCAGAACTTTAACGCGTCATAACTGCGTAATTACGTGTTTAATTGACAGAAATATATGTATATGTCCAATATTTTTTGATAGTCTAGCCTATTATAATCGTTTCATCCACTCGGACGCGCCTCACCAATGTTTGGTCTCGGTCGCGCGGGGTGCGGGAAGTTTGATCCAAGCAATCCGAGCGTCATTATTGTAGTGTGCGTGTGCACTCATGGATTATTTAGCGTGTACCGATAACACTCAAACATTAGCGGCAGAATGGTGGGACGCGTCTTCGTGGATGAAACGATCTATAGTCTATTACAAAAGAGATAAGCAACTCACTATCTGGATGGATCTTCTTCAGTTTCTCCTTCATTTTCAATATCTTGTTCAGGAGCTGCTGCTTGGCCAACTCATCCCTTTGAGTGAGGACTTTTTTACTGCTGGTTTCTTCTTTTATATTGTCTGACAATGCATTACCTGTAAAAGTTAAAGTAGATTGTATAGTGGCTTTCACACAAAAGAGATAATGACGAAAATAAGACTATGATAACGCGCGATCTTGTAAACAGTCTTCAAAACAACTCTTATTTTTATCCATACATCCATTCAATTTAAGACCTACATTTGTATATTTTATTTCTTACTGACTTATTAAAGACAGGGTGACTTGAAATTATAGCATAATCTTGTGAGGGGTAAATGATAATGGTTCACTTTTGCATATGAGTGTCCAAGTCCATAGAAAAATGATGCAAATGACTCAGGGGCGTAGCTACTAAGAGGCTAGGCAGGGCAGTGTCCCGGGGCCCCTAAGTTCAGGTGTCCCCCGAATCCTTACCAGAAAATACTTTGAAAATTTCTCCCATTTTCAAAATAAATAGAGATAAATTCGAAAGTTATAACTAGGGAATTCCCCTAAATTCTTTCTATGGGTTGAAGCAGTGGGGCCCCATTTTTTTTGCCCCAGGGCCCTTGGTTACCAAGCTACGCCACTGCTTGTACTATTTAGCCCCTTACAATTATTATGTTCTAATTCCAAGTCTATTTTTGTTCCATTAATTTCATAACTCAAAATCAAATAACAAAATGTTCTCACCATTGTCATGATTGTCTTCACAGTGGTTCATATCATCATCTTCAATTTCTTTCTTAATTACTTCTATTTTGAACTCTTTCTTCACCATTGGAGGACCTGATGCACCTGCATAATGAGAATTATTTATCAACTTTAAACTAATTTTCCTATTAGGAGTTTATTTATTTATTTTAAACTTATATGCACATAGAACGGTGTACATAAGGCGGACTTAATGCCTTATAATAGAGGCCATGGATAAGATCACCTAGGACATTGGTTCGCAGGCTATCTGTGTACTTAAGTATAAGAAACCTGCGACCACTGAGAGAATGCATTCCAGACTGCTCGATATGACCAATAAATAATCTTGACTGGAGGAGGGGGGCGCGGAATTATTTCTATGGTCGAATGGGGGCGCATCTAAAATAAGTTTGGGAACCAATGACCTAGGAGATCAATGTGTACTTCTTATCCATGGGTGATCAAAGGACACCAAAGTGTCACTTGCGAGTCCATTTTGATCACCTGGGTGATCAATTCCATCCAGGTGATTAAGGCTGGTTTTATTGTCACGCGGCGATCCGCACTGACAGTCCGCGTGACACTAAAACCAGCCTAAAGTGGAATAGAACAGCTTATCCATATGCTACGAGCCTACGAGTATAAAATATAAAGTAAGTAAAGTAAAATATAAAAACACTTAACTACCTTCACTATGGACATGAATCCAACTCTGCAGCATTTTTTCTTCACACTGCAGCACCTGCCGACGGAAGGAGCTGGCTTCACGCAGTCGGCCGACGCAGGTAGCGCATATTAAACGGTCTTTTGTTTCGCCATCTAGATGGGACAGCTGAAATAGGAAAAACAACACTCTTAAGCTTTAGCCAAACGAACGCGTGCAGATCGCGTAGGCGATGGCAAAAGCTGGCTAGTAGAAAGAAAGATAAACCAAATGTTCATTTGGGACAATACTTAGTTGGCAGGGGCGTAGCTACTAAGGGGCAGTGCCCCGGGGCCCCAAGTTTAGGGGGCCCCTGAATCCTTACCGGGAAATCTCAAATAAACTGAACTTTGAAAATTTCTCCCAATTTCCAAATAAATAGAGAAAAATTGGAAAGTAAGCAGGGAATTACCCTAAATTCTTTTTATGGGTTGGCAGCAGCGTTGCCAACCCATAAAAAGAATTTAGGGTAGCGTTTTTTTTTTTCGCCAAGTCGAGATTTTGGTACTTTTTTAGTGAAAATAGCGGGATTCTTCCGTCAGAAGCGGGACATAGTAAAAAAACGTATATAATCAAAGGTTTTTAAATATTTATCCTTTTATTTGACTTAAAATTACGTTTACGTGACAATAGATAGCAAAAGTAGCCATAGAAAATGTATTTTAACAAAAAAATTATATTTTAAATCAGATTTACTCTATCGTTAAATTCGTCTTTAGAATAAAAAAAGAAAAACAAAACAAAAATCGAAATAAAAAAAATATTCTTTAGAATAATATGGCGTTTCAAACAATAGTCTGGTGAAGTGAGTGTCTCTCTCTCCGAAAAGCGGGACAGAGCCTGTCCCGCGCGGGACACTTAAATTTGATTTAAAAATCGGGACGTCTGGCAAAGCTGGTTGGCAGTGTAGTAAATTTGACAGATAGGGATATTATGTGCATTTTAATGTGAAAAGAAGAGAACGGTTAAAAAAATTTATGCTGAATCAGGAGTAACTAAGCTTAATGTTAATAAACTTGATAAAACCTAACCAGTTTAGATAGCAGTGGAGCCCCATTTTTAGTTTGCTCCGGGACCCTTGGTTACCTATTTACGCCACTGTTAGTTGGGACCTTACATTGTGAAAGAAACCTTTGTAAATAATTTTAGGGTTTGCATAGAGTTATAAATAAGGTGGATTACTCCAAAGAATAACTTACCATTAGTCCAAAACACTCAACGAAGATATCAGAGTAGGTTTCTTTCTGGCCCAGATATTCGTACTCCAAGTTTAATATACGACACTTTTTAAGGGCTCCACAGCAGCGACATATCCCTGGGTCGTATATTGGACCTTTTTTACTGTACGTAACATTCATATTGGATCACTTTTTCACGATTTATCGTTTTATTTTTGTTATACAACAAACCAACAAACCCAACAACAAAACAGCTGATCTTATCAGCTTGTCATAAAATGTCAAAAGTTGCGTTTTGTTTCATCACTGACCACTTATTGATAAATAAATTAATTAATAAATTTTAAAACTAAAATACAGATGGCGCAATTTCCGTTACAGCGCCATCTAGTTTTAGACACTAGCTCATTAGTATGACTACTCGGCGCTAGATGGCAGTGCAAAAACGTCAAAGTATTTGACAGATTGAAATGGTGTTTTGTTTGACAGCCGCGGCGTAGGCACAATCAGGGGCGAATTTTGTTTGTTGATTGATTTTAGAAAAGCCAAAATGTGAATAATCTCACAATTGATAAAACATAATCTCTCAATATGAGTGTGGCCAAGCCCAAGGGGCCAATATTTGACCCCGGGCTGTGCAGGTGTTGTGGGACTATGAAGAGATGTCGTGTTTTGAACATCGAGTACGAGAATAGCGGGCAAAAAGAAGTGTATTCTGATATGATAATGGATTGTTATGGCCTTCTGGTAAGAATATCAGTCAGCGTTTCGTCCTATAAACCCAGCAAATACCATTAAACTCTAAATTACAATCACATATCCTGTCTTCCTTTACTCGACAAACTTGTTAATTTTACATATTTCCTTCCAGTTGTCCCACCTAGACGGCAAGCCTTCAGAGCGTTTGGTGTGTGCTACATGCGTGTTGCGGCTCCGAGAGGCTTTCACCTTTAGGAAACAGGTGCTGCGGTGTGAGGAAGCCTTTCTGCAGATGAGGATGTTGGACTGTGAAGGTATTACTATTAAATTGTGTATGAATGTTACCACATATAGACATAATTTAGGCATTATTATGGTAAATATAGAATTGCTATAAAACTCACTCCTGAATTTTTTATATTTTACCTATTTACAATAACTTTTTTCAATCAGAATAATGAGTTAATTCAAAGCATTTATTTTGAATCATGTGACAGAAAGGTACACAAGATGTTATAGAACATAATAAACATAAACATGTTGTGTACTGACTACTGCTTGTGCCCCTCTGCTTTGACTTATGTTGCGCAAGATTAAAGTATACTATGTACTCGTAAATACTGTTTTTAGCATTACTGAATCATCCAGAAAAAGTCATAAAACTTATGCATAAAAAAATTTTAAATGAAGTATAGTAGAAAAATTAAAATAGTAGAACCTGCCTAAAATCATATATCACTGATAGAAATATAGCTAACAGAAAATCATGTAACTTACGAAGAAGTTGTTTGTTGAAAATTTTTTCACACTGGATTCAGTCTGCAATCTGTGGTCAGATCAAAGTGAATATAATAATGTATGATTACTTGGACTTGACTGCAGACAGTATCCAGTGTGGCAAATCCTTAAACCATTGGTTCCCAAACTTATTTGAGACGTGTCCCCTTTCGACCAGACAAAAAAATCTGCGTCCCCTTCCTCCAGTCAAGATTATATTTATTGGTCGTATCAAGCAGTCTGGAATGCATTCTCTCAGCGGTCGCAGGTTTCATACAGATGGCCCGCGCGCCACGCGACATTTAAAATGTCATTGCGCCCCCCACTTTGGGAACCAATGCCATAAACCTTAATGTTTGATATGAGTTTTTGATAGTTCACATATTTGGTCCCGCAGCGGGGGCTCAAGTGGCCCAAATGGCGGAGGCGACGGTGGAGGGCGCTCCGCCGGCCGTCTGCGTCAAGACCGAGCCGCCCGACGACGACTCCATAGCCGGGGACACGCTGGCCGACCTGCCTGACGGTCAGTACAAAATACACATTCATAAAACTCATTCCTTTTTGCAAATAGGCGTTACATGTTTACTTCCCGTTGTTCCCGTTAGCCGAATCCACGTTATGGGGACGACGGGAATTAAATTTAATCACGTCGTCGCTTGCCTCTCTAACTGACGTACCTATCTGACATTTTTTTAGAAACTGAGTTATCTACACCATCTTAATCAATTTCGCAAGACGAATCGATCTGTCTAATCGCCTGAAAATTATGCAAAATGTCAGTCACGTCAGTTAGAGAGGCAAGCGACGACGTCCCACTGACCCTGATGTGTCACTGTCGAAGACACGGCGTATGGGGACAACGGGAATAGTCGTTAAAAAAAGCGCTTTTACACATCCCCTTCTTACTTTTTTCACATCCCCTTCTAACTTTTAAACTTATGAGGCTATAAATGGATTAGAGCTTAGAAGAAGCAGCGGGGAAGAAACTCAAATTTTTTTTGAAACACAAACTGCCAATTCAATCTAATGTAATTAAATCTGCTGCCTGATCACAGATAAAAAAGGAGAGCAGAGCTCTGCTCTATTTATTTGGTAGAAAATGGTCCTAAGTGAGCTTTTTCTTATTGGACCACAATCACCTCTTATGTTAAGTGACATGCAGTCTAAGAGTAGGCGCACACCGTTGATTTTTAGTTGGCCGATAGTTGTGCCTGATTTTAATTTGTATGAAGAATCGGCCAAATCGAATCGGCGTAGTGTGCGCACTCCCATACATGCCCATACTGATCAACTGCCTGACTAAACTATCGGCCGACGAAAAATCAACGGTGTGCGCCTACTCTAAGACTTCTAATTACGCAATATTTCTACACCAATCTCCAGATGAGCCCGACATCAAAGTGGAAGCGAACGACGACTCAAACCAAGGCGACATACCACTAGTGCAGCGAGTGAGAAAAAAGCCCGCCGCTCCCATGTTGGAGATTAATGTGGCTCCTCTCACCACGCCCGCAAGGAAGGCCAAGCCTGCAAGTGAGTTATACTTCTCTTGATTCCCTTCCGCAACCGAAATTTCTTCCTCCCCATGCGAGATTTTGTCCTCCCCAACTGAGATTCCGTCCTCCCCATGCGAGATTCCGTCCTCCACAACCGAGATTCCGTCCTCCCCATGCGAGATTCCGTCCTCTCCATGCGAGATTCCGTCCTCCATGCGAGATTCCGTCCTCCCCAACCGAGATTTCGTCCTCCCTAACTGAGACTGCTAGTGCAGTGGGTAAGGAGAAGAAAGTCCCGCCGCTCCGATGCTGGAGATCAATGTGGCTCCTCTCACCACGCCTGCAAGGAAGGCGAAACCTGCAAGTGAGTGCTTCCCTCGATTCCATCCTGTTCCTTTCAGCCAAATGACGACCACTGCTGGACAAGGCCTCCCCCAAGGTTTTCCATAATGAACAATTCGATTCCATCCTCCCCAACCGATATTCCGTCCTCCCCATGCGAGATTCCGGTCTCCCCATGCGAAATTTCGTCTTCCTCAACTGAGATTCCATCCTCCCCATTCGAGATTCCGTCCTCCCCATGCGAGATTCCGTCCTACCCATGCGAGATTCCGTTCTCCCCATGTGAAATTTCGTCCTCCCCAACTGAGACTGCTAGTGCAGCGAGTGAGAAGAAAGCCCGCCGCTCCCATGCTGGAAATTAACGTGGCTCCTCTCACCACGCCCGCAAGGAAGGCCAAGCCTGCAAGTGAGTTACACTTCTCTTGATTCCCTCCCTTCCGCAACCGAGATTTCTTCCTCCCCATGCGAGATTTTGTCCTCTCCAACTGAGATTCCGTCCTCCTTATACGAGATTCCGTCCTCCCCATGCGAGATTACGTCCTCCCCATACGAGGTTCCGGTCTCCCCATGCGAAATTTCGTCATCCCCAACTGATTTTCCGCCGAAGCGAACGACGACTCAAACCAAGGTGACGTGCCGCTGGTGCAGCGAGTGAGAAGAAAGCCCGCCGCTGGCATGCTGGAGATCAATGTGGCTCCTCTCACCACGCCTGCAAAGAAAGCGAAACCTGCAAGTGATCTCTTGATTCCGCCTTCCGCAACCGAGATTTCGTCCTCCCCATACGAGATTCCGTCCTCCCCATACGAGATACCGTCCTACCCATGCGAGATTCCGTCCTCCCCATGTGAAATTTCGTCCTCCCCATGTGAAATTTCGTCCTCCCCAACTGAGACTGCTAGTGCAGTGAGTAAGGAGAAGAAAGTCCACCGCTCCCATGCTGGAGATCAACGTGGCGCCGCTCGCAACGCCTGCAAGTAAGTTATGTTTCTACCCGAACAGAGATTCCGTTCTCCCCATGCGAGATTTCGTCCTCCCCATGCGAATTTCGTCCTCCCCGATTGAGTGAGTAAGCAGAAGAAAGCCCGCCGCTCCCATGCTGGAGATCAATGTGGCTCCTCTCACCATGCCTGCAAAGAAGGCCAAACCTGCAAGTGAGTGCTTTGCTCGATTCCGTCCTCCCCTTGCGAGATTCTGCCCTCCCCATGAGAAATTTCATGGTCGCTAACCGAGATTCCGTCCTCCCCAAGTGCAATTTCGTTCTCCCCATCTGAAATTCTATCGTCTCCAACCGCGATTCCGTCTTCCCTAATCGCTATTCCGTCCTCTACACAGTCATGTAACTACAGTACTTACACTTTTTCTCTGTATGAAGTCCTTTTTATACTTTTTTTCAGATTTGAGTGACAAGAGCCTAGCATCATTGAAAAAGCAATCGGCAGTATCAACTCAAGTCAAAAAACCAGGTGAGTTTTAAGGACGAAGCACACTTATCAACCTGGAAACGGATCGTAACCGTATCAACTTGATGCGGTCAGTATTCTTTGCATAAAACTCCGTACCACAACGCACATCCTTTTCCGGGTTGATAAGTATGCTATGACCTTTTATTTATATATTATATTTTATTCACCATCATTGCTATTTATAGGTAGAAAAACCATCAAGGAGACAATGATCTGATAATGATATGTTTTAGTGCTCCGGGCAACTGCGATAAGGAAATCTGTCGACACGAAAGCTAAGAATGGAGCCGCGACACATGCCATGGCTAAGAGAACTCGTAAGTATTCATTACTAACCTTTGATCGGGCAAGCGAGTTATTTTTCTTCAAGGCAATAATACTACAAGTACAGTTTAAAATTGTGAAAGATGCAAAAAACTACTAATATTTTCTAAATCTTAAAGATTGAGCACGCTTAAAATCTCAACTTCCAATTTTCAAATAGAAGTGCTTTTCTGTTTCCAAAAATCTCTAAAGTTACAGATCTAACATAGGTACAGATATTTGTAACCTCGTGACGCTGAACTAGTTCCTTATTCTTTCTTTTCAGGACCCGCAGTAGAGAAGCAAGCACAACTACCCACGGTTCCGACGGCCTCACAAATGCTACAGCGACAGAGTGAGTAAAATTAATATTATTATTGTAACTATAGAAATGTTCTTCTATTAAGGTACTGTCAGGCCTCCCAGCCCGTCTGACCAGCGTAAATAGTGACGGTCTCCTGCAAGTGAAGACTAACTCACGGTTTCTGAACATAATTGATTTCTGAATTGAATTGAAATTACTCAAGCCGAATTCTGAATGTTGAAGTCACACGCAGGTTAGCGTACCATCTCCATATTGTTGACATTCCACCAGCTCGCACTAAGCGTTTCGATGATTCTTTTATAATGCGAACAGCTAGGGACTGGAATTCGCTGCCTGCTGTCTTTACCGAAGATTATAATCCGGGCCTTCTCAAGGCGAGAGTAAATAGGTACTTACAGGGCAGATATTTACCATCTTAGACTGCATCCCACTTAACACCAGGTGCGATTGTGGTTAAATACCTGCCTTGTTAACCAAATTCTAGCTTGTTGGTACAACTACCATGTTTTATGCAAATAACCTCTAATAAAACAGCCATAATACCTTATTTTCCAGAACTCCCAATGGCGAAAGTGCAAGAAATGATGCGCGAACGCGACCCCACCTACATGATTGAGACAAATGCGCTCACAATCATCGAGTTCTCATACGTATGCCCCTTCAAATGCCGACACAATCACTTATTATGTCACTACTGTGGTGCCCATTTTATAGACCCAGTGCATTTGAGAGAACATACTGAATCAAGCCACTCTCCGAAGAAATTCAAAATCGCTGAACACCGGAACATGCTCAAAGTGGATCTAACAAGAATCGACTGCAGATTATGCCCGGAGAATATTACAAACCTGGACGACTTCAAGAAACACATATCGAGTGTCCACAACAAAAAATACTACTTCGACTTCAAAGATTTGATTTTACCGTTCAAGTTGACTAAAAATGAAATGAAGTGTGCAGTGTGTGATGTGATTTTTCCGTATTTTCATGCGTTGAATAAGCATATGAACGTGCATTTTAGTAATTATGTGTGTGAGACGTGCGGGTTGGGTTTCGTTGATAAGGGACGGTTTGTGATGCATCAACAGAGGCATGAGGAAGGCGATTATCCGTGTGAGACTTGCGGGAAGGTGTTCAAGGCGCAGTATAATAGGTGAGGTTATAAGAATATACTTTAATTTACAGAAAAAATATAAATTGCAGTAATGTCCGTCTCTTATAGGTCGGAGCTCATTTTTTCGGCGCGACACAGTGTCAAATTATTATTTCAGTCATTTTGTAATTGTATGGAGTTTGTCGCATTATGGCGGCGCTGCAATGAGTGTCGCAGCACAGTTGCTTAAGAGAAAATATTCTTTCGCGCAGCGCCGCGCAAATGGGGTCCGACCCTTTTCAACCGACTTCAAAAAAAGGAGGAGGTTCTCAATTCGACCCGTATGTTTTTTTTTTTTTTTTTTTTTTTTTTAAGTATCAATCATGGTATACCTACATAAATATTAATTCGTCCTAATAAATAAGTAGGTTATTAGTAATTATTTTTCTACTTTTTAATGTAGGTTTTTTGGAGTCGGTTTTTACAAAAAAAAGTTTCTTCTTTCTTGTCAAAAAGACGCCCGCTGAGAAAAAACACTCGCTGTGTCCTGGACACTGAATTTCAGTTGCATCTATTCAACTATTTCCAATGCTTGCGCCTGCGTGAGTTCCAGATAATCACAGACAGTTGTTATTCGGATGTATTATAAACAATAACAATGTATAGTCTCTTGAAAATCCTATTAGTAGTTTTTGCGTGAAAGTAACAAACCATCCTCACATACTTTCGCATTTGCAATATTAATAGGGTTTAAAAAATATAACAGTTACAGTTAACTCTTTCAAATTGCCTCACATTCATGTATCAATTCTACCATACCATATTTAATTGTGTTTTTTTGTTCCCCCAGGGATCTCCACAACGACCGGGTTCACATGAAGCGCGGACGCGTTTACTGCCCCAAATGCGACATCCGGCTCATGTCCTACCACCAGAAACTCAAGCATTTGGTCGAGGTAAGAATAAATAAAGACATTAATTTTATTAGCGCAATGTAAAAGTATGGATATTTTCATTGCCGGTTCAAAAATAACCAAAGACTGTGCACATAAGGAAGATTAAATTTCGACACTCGAATCAATTTCAAACATAAATTGAGACTTGGTTAAATTCCAATGTCACTAAACCAATCACAAGGCAGAATCTAGGACTGAGTTTGATTATAATTTTGAGCGTTATTTTGTAACGGTAACTATCTTAAGTAACTAACTGCTTACACAAAAACGCCGGAGCGACGGGGTATTACAAATATTACAATCGTCACGTTATCAAGCCGTTAATCAGTATGAACTAAAAGAAGAAAAGAGGATCAAACTATAGTCTGTAGTCTTCGAAGAGTCTAAAGCCTGGTCCGTGAGCACGTAGAATCCCGTCCAATCACCCCACGCTGCCCATCCTTGTCACTCGCACGTAATTATGTTGCTGTCGCGCTCGCACACTCACTGCAGCAATATAATTACACGCGAGCGATAAGGCCGGGTAGCTTGGGGTCATTGGACGGGATTCTACGTGCTCACGGACCAGGCTTTAGGTCATAGCAGACTTATCAACTCGAAAAGAGATCCACACCGTATCGCCCTTCGCGCGCTGTCAACGGCGACGCGAGGCGTTTACGTTACGGTGCGGATAAGTTTGCGTTGCAGTATGGAATTTCATACAAAGAATGCTGAGCGCCTCTTGATACTGTTACGATCCCTTTCCGGATTGATAAGTGTGCTACGTCATTTTAACTGCATATTTACCTATTTGTTCATATTTCAGGTGCACGGCGAAGAGCCCCTGTCGTTCACGTGCAACGTGTGTGACAAGGTGTTCGAGACACGCCGCACGCTTACCATACACCGGCGGAAGGACCACTTGAAGGACTACAGGTAACGTATGTCCCCTTATAGCACGCATGTCCCCTTATAGCACGCATGTCCCCTTATCGCACGCATGTCCCCTTATAGCAAGCATGTCCCCTTATAGCACGCATGTCCCCTTATAGCACGCATGTCCCCTTATAGCACGCATGTCCCCTTATAGCACGCATGTCCTCTTATAGCACGCATGTCCCTTATAGCACGCATGTCCCGTTATAGCACGCATGTCCCCTTATAGCACGCACGTCCCCTTATAGCACGCATGTTCCCTTATAGCACGCATGTCCCCTATAGCACGCATGTCCCCTTATAGCACGCATGTCCCCTTATAGCACACATGTCCCCTTATCGCACGCATGTCCCCTTATAGCACGCATGTTCCCTTATAGCACGCATGTCCCCTTATAGCACGCGTGTCCTCTTATAGCACGCATGTCCCCTAAAGCACGCATGTCCCCTATAGCACGCATGTCCCCTATAGCACGCATGTCCCCTTATAGCACGCATATCCCCTTTTAAAAAAATCACTAATTTTAAATTTTCTACTTTTCGCGTGAAAATAGTTAGCATAATAATTCCCGTGTTAATATTCAACCAAATATACAAACTCTTCAGCTTTATAATATCAGTATAGATAGGTACATTGAAAAAATCGATTGTTTCAACTGGGAATTCAACACATTACTGCTCTGACTGCTGAGCTACGGGACTATTCCCACCTCTCGTTCCCACTGCTGCAATAGGGATGTTTCCTGGGTAAAAAAGCAAGAGTTTTAATTAGTCCGTCAGTTAACTTATCAAAAAAATACTCTACACGTATTTTTCACTTTTTCAAACTAATGAAAATGTAAGGAGATAAAACGCGCTAAAGTTCCAAAGAAGAGCCCCGTGACGTCAATGAGTGTTTAAAAGTGCAGCACCTTGTGACGTCGCGCGGAACTTCAGCGCACCATAACTATGTAATTATTTGTTAGATTGACAAATAAAAATATACGTGTCCAATGTTTTTTGATATTAAACATGACAAACTAAAAAAAAATTTTAAGAAACTAGCCTATTCCTGTTTAAACCGCTGAGCTACGAATATTTCTCAACTTTTCAGCATTAATGAAACAATGCTAGTTTACCCGATGTCTCTACTATAGCTCAGGGGTCAATCAGTTAGTCGCCCGGCTAGCAAAAGTAGCGGATTCAATTCTGACCTTAGGCAATCGATTTTTTCAAGTTAAAAAATCTTAACCCCTAGGCCACAGTGCCATATTAGGGGCCATCCATAAAGTACGTCACACGAATTTCATGATTTTTTGACCCCCCCTCCGTCCTTGTCACAGGTGGTCACATTTCTGAGACCCCCCCTCCCTAGTGTGACGTCACATGTTTTGCAATTTCACATCGAAAAATTATTAAATTAACAGCAGTTCCGAAATTAGTCTTATTTCCATTTAAATTAAGTATTTTTTTAAATGAAATCAACATTATATCAAATATTTGAAACAATTGAAATGTGATGTCACGAAACTTAGGACCCCTCCCACCCCTTGTCACACTTTGTCAACCCCCTCCCCCCCTCTTTACGTGTGACGTACTTTATGGATGACACCTTATTATACATCCCGGTAAACTGAACATTCGCGCTATCCCGATGCATGTAGCCAAGTATACTGCGGTGCTTTTTTGCATAGGTCTTGAGAGTCATAGAATGTTATCGTTATGAGGATGTGGCGTAAATGCAAAATATGTTTGTTTATGTACATCTATTTATTTGTATTTCCAGATACATATGCCAATGCTGCGGCCAGAAGTTCTTCACTCGCTTCGCCTTGAACAACCACATGCCCGTCCATACAGGCGCGAGAGACTTCAAGTGCAAGGTCTGCGAGAAGACATACCCAAGGCTCAAGACTCTGAAAGACCATATACGGATACACACCAACGACAGGCGGTATAGGTGAGATAATTTAAAGCTGCTCTTTATTGCATTGATTGCGAGAGACTTTAATTGTAAGGTCTGCGAGAAGACCTATCCAAGGCTCAAGACTCTGAAGGACCATATACGGATACACACCAACGACAGGCGGTATAGGTGAGATAATTTAAAACTGCTCTTTATAGCATTGATTGCGAGATTTCAAGTGTAAGGTCTGCGAGAAGACCTATCCAAGGCTCAAGACTCTGAAAGACCATATACGGATACACACCAACGACAGGCGGTATAGGTGAGATAATTTAAAACTGCTCTTTATAGCATTGAATGCGAGAGACTTCAATTAAGGTCTGCGAGAAGACCTATCCAAGGCTCAAGACTCTGAAAGACCATATACGGATACACACCAACGACAGGCGGTATAGGTGAGATAATTTAAAGCTGCTCTTTATTGCATTGATTGAGAGATTTCAAGTGTAAGGTCTGCGAGAAGACCTATCCAAGGCTCAAGACTCTGAAGGACCATATACGGATACACACCAACGACAGGCGGTATAGGTGAGATAATTTAAAGCTGCTCTTTATTGCATTGATTGCGAGAGACTTCAAGTGCAAGGTCTGCGAGAAGACCTATCCAAGGCTCAAGACTCTGAAGGACCATATACGGATACACACCAACGATAGACGGTATAGGTGAGAAAATTTAAAACTGCTCTTTATTGCATTGATTGCGAGAGACTTCAAGTGCAAGGTCTGCGAGAAGACCTATCCAAGGCTCAAGACTCTGAAAGACCATATACGGATACACACCAACGACAGGCGGTATAGGTGAGATAATTTTAAAACTGCTCTTTATAGCATTGAATGCGAGAGACTTCAATTAAGGTCTGCGAGAAGACCTATCCAAGGCTCAAGACTCTGAAGGACCATATACGGATACACACCAACGATAGGCGGTATAGGTGAGATAATTTTAATACTGCTCTTTATTGCATTGATTGCGAGAGACTTCAAGTGCAAGGTCTGCGAGAAGACCTATCCAAGGCTCAAGACTCTGAAGGACCATATACGGATACACACCAACGATAGACGGTATAGGTGAGAAAATTTAAAACTGCTCTTTATTGCATTGATTGCGAGAGACTTCAAGTGCAAGGTCTGCGAGAAGACCTATCCAAGGCTCAAGACTCTGAAGGACCATATACGGATACACACCAACGACAGGCGGTATAGGTGAGACATTATGTTAAGACTGCTCTTTATTGCATTGATTGCGAGAGACTTCAATTGTAAGGTCTGCGAGAAGACCTATCCAAGGCTCAAGACTCTGAAAGACCATATACGGATACACACCAACGACAGGCGGTATAGGTGAGAAAATTTTATTCGCTCAAATCTATTTCGCTGGAATTCAACTCTCCGACCGTACCAGAGCGGCGATGTGACGTCACGTCACAGCTGCCAGATGCGCAGTTAACTCGACGTTGTATGAAGGATAGAGAAGCTATCGCAAGCTAAATTCTTGCTCCATTTTGAAAATAATTAAAACTAAAGCAAACTTCTGCAAGTTTTATAACTAGTTTAAACCTCGCATTATACTCAGAAGTCCTGGGTTCGATTCTCAGTGACGACAACATTTTCTGCTCGGTTTCGGTTGGTGGTAGGGCTCGTTCTAAGTCCCCCTGGTTAGCTACCACCATCTTATCTAAGTCTGACGCCATAACAACAACAGCATTGTTGTTACGGCAGTTGGAGGTAAGATTGCCAGTTCCTCTGTAGTTGAGGATTCCGGGTGAAGCTCGCTTCCACCTTCGGCCTGATCATCACTTTCCATGAGGTGTAAAAATATCTTATACAGGGTGTTAGGTAAATGGGTATATGAGCCGACACTAGCCCATGTTAACATGGTCATATAAATGGTATGGTGAAGTCAGAAAATTGATATCTTCATTTTAATTATTTTAATTTTCATGCAAATCGGATTTTATAAAAAAATATTTTGTATGAAAATTAAAAAAATTAAAATGATAATATCGAATTACTGACTTCACCATACCATTTATATGACCGTGTTAACATGGGTTAGTGTCGGCTCATATACCCATTTACCTAACACCCTGTATATGCCGTCAGAAACACAAGAAATATAGACCTTATTGTGAATGTAATAAAGTTTGTTTTCTCTCAACAGATGCCACATATGCGGTCAAGCCTTCATACAAAACTGCAGCTTAAAGGGACACATGAAGAGTCAACACCCCGAGTATGGATAAGGTGTCTTATTGTAAAAACAACGTGGCTGTACAGTACAAGCAATAGTAGTTTTTATGTGTATAGCGTTAAGGTATCAAATCGGACAAGTTTTTGAAACCGGTACCTCTAGCATGAGCAACTTTCGTCTTCGAATCGTTTGCGTATTCGACAAAATTCGACACTCAACCTTCGAATTCAACGATTACGTGATAATTTTGATTCTCAAAATAAGTTTCGTGCAACCATTTCTCATACTAAGTTCACTTTACGACACGTTCACAAGGGCGCTGATGTAGTTTTCGTACTAAATCTTTTGATGGCGATTCGAATACGCAAACGATTCGATCTCGAAAGTTTTTCGTGCTAGCCGAACCGGTGAATAAAAGTCAGACGTAAGTTCATTAATAAATTAATTTCGAATCTATTTGTCTCTGTCGCACATGGAAGCATCTCGCAATGAGTGAGAGAGAATACAATAGGAACACGACCCGCTATATCGGGAACAATCACAATTTTAGTATTCAATTGAGATTATTTATTTTATGTATTAAAAATCATTATTTTAAAATGAAATATTATTTGTAGGTTTTATATTTTATTCTGATTAATAAGTGAAATGAAATGTAATACATAGGATAATTTAGCATATAGATATCAAATATATCTTTACAGCGAAAATGCACACATTTTCATTACATTCTGTAGTTTTATTGATTATTTGGACTGTAAAGCTATTTTTGACACTGTCTCCATTTTACGTTAAGTATTTTATAAATATTATTGAAAATACAATTTGTAATAAATATTGTTAGAACAGTTACGATTTTCATTTTAGATTAGCAAACGATTGTTTTTTCTATGCTATAAGCTAAACCCTAGCACACAGAAAAAACAGTAAATAATCGTCAATGCGTGCAGTAGCACATATTTTAAGTTTAGTTGCATTCGGATGCATCGCATTTAAATAAATTACGAGGATGCAAAATATTCTTCATGTTTCGTATGCCCTCGCCCTTTTTCGCCCCACCTCTATTTTAAATTTTATTTACATCCACTCCTCAACAGATGGCGCTATATTATGGATCGGTATTAAAAAAAAAAAAGAGCATGTTCCATTTATTTCGTGCATTAGTTTCTTTACAATTTTGACATCTTGCACTTTTTCATTTTCATTCGGTGCGTATTTCTGTCTGCTTTTCTTCAATGGAACAGAACGTCAAATGTTATGTCTTCCTGCTGATTTGTTGTTTTACAAAATAAAGTGAAAAATTACACAGAAATGAGTGTAAATAACCAAAAGGGGCCTGTTTTTGACCCTGGACTGTGTCGGTGTTGCGGTGCGCTCAAGAAATGCAGGTTGCTGAACGTGGAATACGACTGGAGAGGTCAAAAAGAGGTGTACTGCGATATGTTTGTAGATTGTTTTGGTTTGATGGTGAGTAGCGGAACAAAACATAACCGAAACTTGATTAAAATTTTGTATTCTAATCAAATAAAGCTTCAATCACTTAATATCAAGGAGAACTTTCTCTATTCTGCCTAAAGTAAGTCATCAATCATTAACCAAAAAAAGCTTTTAAAATTAAGCAAAATAGCAACGATTAGGAACTTAATCTTTTTTAAATATACTGAAAACTATTTCCTTATCGCACTTAACTTTATCCCCAAGCCCAATTCCACAGAAGTTTTCAGTACTTTTTCTATAATAATTTTTCATATTATTGTCTGAACACTTACAGCTATCAAACCTCGACGGGGAACCCCTAGAGCGGCTAATATGTGCTACCTGTGTTTCCCGCCTGCGTGAGGCGAGCTCCTTCCGTATACAAGTGCTGAAGTGCGAAGAAACACTGCTGCAGGCAAGGATACATTTGGACGGTAAACAAATTATTTTTTAAAATGTTTCTACTTTAAATTAAGACAGAATTGGAACTAAAATAATGTAGGTGGTACGCTAAATTGTTGTGTAGGTAATTAACTAAAGAAGTTGTATTACTTTCCTACCTTTTAATGATTTGTGCATGAAGTATGAACCATATTGTTATGTTAATGTGCACAAAGTATTCTAAACTATCACTGTTATAATGACTAAAATGTGTTAAATGATTGACTCCATTTCCTACGACTTATTAATTTGGAGGCTACTAGTAGATAATGGTTATTGGTGTTCTTTGAAAATAAAAAAACAAATTATACTCATAGTAAATAGTAAGCTAAATAAATAGTTATTAAACCAAGCTAGACTTATATTACATAATTTATTTTGTCATTACAGATGAAGCCACAGAATCTGACATCAAAAAGGAGGCAGATGCACAAATCAAAGTTGAAGTCCAGTTAAGCGCTGAACCGCAGCAAGATCCGTATCCTTATGACGCTGAGCCACACCATGGAGATAGTGGGTCGGACCGTGCATATGGTATGTATTTATTTCTTGCCACCTGTATTTACCAATATTGTGACAAGAAAATAAATAAATAATATCTCACACCTTAGCTCATAAACTTTAACCCCCTTACTAATAAAACTTACACACTCATTGAACAGTGTTTTAAAGTGACGTTTAGTATGGAAATGTCATTTTAAAACAGTGTTCAACAACTGTGTAACCTTTTATTAGTAAGGGGGTGATTGCATATAATTATAAATAAATAATAGTGTTTCACAGCTATGGCACAGGCAACATGGATCTTAAAACAATCTGGGCCTGACAATAGACTGCATCTCACCTTCAAGTGCATTTGTGATCAAATACCTGCCTTGTTCTGCATAAAAAAAAGTTTGAAGTAACATGATTGTATTACGCCCATATTCACAAACGATGCTTGCTTAAGTGAAGCAGCAAATCGAACGCACAGCGTTAAATAGAAATAGAGCTCTGTGATTGGTTCATTTGTCACCCTGTGCGTCCACGCGCACTATGAGACCTCATAGTAATGTTTGTTAATAGGGGTGTTAAGAAGAAGCGCAGTATTGTCACAATAAAAGAAGAATTTAAAATAAAATTAAAGACAATAATGAACTAAATCAAATTGAAGGTAACATGTTCTTGATTACATTAACAGATTCACTTGACGACAACAAACCACTATCAACAATGAAATCGCCCAAAAAGTCTCCCAAGCCGAAGAAATCTTTGAAAGCGAAGAAGAAACTGAAGACTGAAAAGAAAGCTAAACGTAAGAACTCGTTGAGTCAAGAAGAAAAGGATAGAAGGCAGATGTTAGCTAACATAGCTAAGATCAGTGAACAGTTGAAGAGGATGCATGAAGGTAAGTTTGGGTCTAAGGGCCTATACTAAAACCAGAGTAAATACAAATGAAGGTCATCTTCATAGAAACGCACGGGCGCGGTTTGTATGTGAGCGCCCCAATACGTATGCGGCGCGCACGCACACACTGACAAAATTTAGCGGGGAGTTGCAGTGTGTGCGTGCGCGCCGCATACGTATTGGCGCGCTCACATACAAACCGCGCTCGGTGCGTTTCTATGAAGATGACCTACTCATTTGTATTTACTCTGCTAAAACTCGCGCGTTAAATTTTTTATGCATCACAGACGCGTCGCGACTTTAAATTCAATGCATACTTTTAACAAATGATAATATTTCTTGGTTACAGATGAAATCCAACTCAAGCCGCCAAAAACGATCGACAACGATCACAAATGCTTCATGAACGCCGTCGCCATCGTCCAAAACTCCTACGTCTGTCCGTTCGACAGTTCCTTCAGCGATTACTACTGCGTCTACTGCCGTGGAATGTACACAGACCCTATTAAACTCAGAGAGCATACGCTATCGCACGACCCCAGTGCGTTCAACGAGTATGCAGTGACAAAAAAACAGCTCATGCTTGATATTTTACGAATAGACTGCAGATTGTGCGAAGAAAGAATTGACGATATAGACATACTAAAAAATCACCTGATAACATCCCACGATGTGAAACTGCATGACGTCACCAACGAGTTCCTGAAATTTAAGTTGACAATCAACAATTTGACGTGCATAGAGTGCAATGGGACGTTCAGTTTTTTTCATGCGCTAAAAAAACATATGGCAGAACATTTCGGCAGTTGTATATGTGATGTGTGCGGTGCCCATTATTTTGAGGAACGGATGCTGAGTCTTCATATGAGGTGTCATCAGAAAACGGACGAAGAATTCACTTGTGATGAGTGCGGGAAGACGTTTAAGTCGAAACATAGTAGGAATCTCCACGTAGCGAGGTTGCATAGGAAAGAAGCAGCGTATGAGTGTAATAAGTGTGACGAAGTGTTTTATTCGTATTCTTTGAGATATCGACACATGATAGAAGCTCACGGAGAACGACGTATGTTCCCGTGCGAACACTGTGATAGGGTCTACGACAGCAGAAAGTCGTTGAGAGAACACAACCGAAGATCTCACCTAAAAATCTTCCGGCACCAATGTGAGGTCTGCGATAAGAGGTTTTACTTGCCATCGAGATTAAAAGAACACATGGCAACACACACTGGAGAGAGAAACTTCAGATGTGAATTTTGTGGGAAGAGCTACCCTCGGTTACGAGGTCTGAAAGTGCACATGCAAAGTCACAGTGCGGAGAAAAGATATAAGTGCACGTTATGTTCGGCGTCGTTCACTCAGAATGTGAACCTGACCAGCCATATAAGGAGGCAGCATCAGCCAGCGGATATGGAGGAAGTGTATCACGAGTAGAAAGAGACGCTGTTGTATCAGAGACAGTGGCGTAAGTATAGCAAGTCTGGCAAAATCCCTGATCGTATCGTGATGCCGCAATCCGCAATGGCCCTGGCCCCCCTGAAAATAACCCTAGAAACAAGGGCCCCATGCCCAGAATTTGCCACGGGCCCCCAGGGTTGCATGATTTAAATCAACTTGATTTAAATCATGATTTAAATCACGATTTATATTGCATGTTTTTTTAAATAAAAATCACTGATTTAAATCAAAGGCCGAAAATGGAATTAATGAAAGTCTGGGAATTTATATTAATCAACTGTAATGTTCGAAAACAATGTTAATAAATAGGTGTTAATGTATGAAATTGATGTTTTGAATAGAGAATCAGAAAAAAATATTTTTTCCGTACAAACATGTTTGCGATTTTTTAGATAACCAAACAATTTTTTTTTTTTGGTGGTGTTGCATCAATTCTACGTAAATAAAAAGGTTTTCCGTAAGAAAAACTAAAGAAATGATCGCAAAACGTAATAAAAATCGAAAATATCAAATAAATAAAAAAAACAGTGTTTTTTTTTTAATCAGATTTTTTAATTAAAATAAATAAATCATGATTTTTTTCCACCCTGCGGGCCCCGGATGGTACAGTTACGCCACTGGTCAAAGAGATTCGGCATAACAGTTCTTCCTTCTTATTTTGTTTTTTCGCCAAGTCTGGGATATTACGGCCTACACAGAGTGACTTCCCTAATGAATTCCGCCAGTCACGTTAAACACGGCAAAAAAGTGCCAATTCAACACTGTTGGATCAGCCATACTGAAAACATTGAGATACGTGAGATGGGTATTTGCTGAAGCACTGGATTTGGCCATTAAAAATATCTGTCTTTAGACAAGGAAATAAAGAAAATTATTGAAGTGAAGATAATTAATTAACCCATATATGCCCAGAACTATTTAGGTCCCAGATTTTTATGTATATTGGCATATTTACTCTATTTAGGCCCATAATCATGAACCAAGATGAGTTTTTGGATTTCAGGATTTGGAACTATTTTTTTTTCAGTCGGTCGAAAACGACCGCCTTAGCATATATGAGACTAGAATGTAGGTGTTCATAGTATAAAGTATTTTCAAATAATAGTCGTATTTATTATATAATTAGTTTGCAAATTTGAACAGAATATAGCAAATAGTGTATAATAATCATATTTGGTTTATTTAGGAACTTGAATAATAATACAGTTAGTACAATTTAGGCCGCAAAACATTTGTCATGGAGATTTACACTACACTTGCTGCATTTTTTCACAGTTTATGTGTTTGCATACTGCACAATTTCTACGAATCTGACCTGTGAGGATCAATCAAATGCTCAGCACCATATCGCCTTACACTTAGTGGTATATTAGACGGCACTGGGCATGTTGAAGGTCCAGGCTGAGTTCAAGGATATCTATATTTTGGAAGCAAATTTCTAGCAATTGACCTTCGAAACTCCAGAGTTGTTATTGACGGTGACATCAATCAACCATGTCAAAAACATTAGAATCATTTTTTTCCTTCCCATCAATAACTTTGCCATAATAGCGAGATCCCTTGGAGCATCTGTAGACACTTTGAAGTTTCGAAGGTAAATTACTAGAAATTCGCTTCTTACAAATGGATCTCTTCGAACTCAGCCTGGACCTTCTACATTCTGGTCCAATATATGCCCATGCGGTCGTTTTCGACCAACAGAACTTTTGCAAAAAATAACAAAGCACATATTTATATTTTCATAACACTTCTTAGTTACTTACCTTGGAAATATATTCATTTCAATATTTCAATCGCAATAATCGTTTAAAACAGAATACATAAAATAATATTTACATTTTTGTAAGACTGGGTGCACTAATTTCAACAACAAAAAAATCAGTGAAATTCAATTTCAAATTCTAAAAAAAGTGGCTGCGTACGAACTTAGTAACTGTTAAATTTCATTAGGAAGTTCTTTCAACATTATATTTATAGCGCTAAAACAGAAAACAAACGTACAGTTTTTTTGTAATTGGCATCGCAAGAGAACATGTACCATTGGGTCGTTTTCGTGCCTCTGGGCATATATGGGTTAACCAGAATAATGGTCGAGTATTATTGCTGTAAATGTAGTACAACAAAACCAATAATAGTTGGTTACATTTTTACATTTAGTAAAAAAGATATAAATTAATGGAATTAAGTATTCAAATTACGCAATTACATAATGTAAATAATAATTTATTTATCACTAATTTATGTTACAAATATAATGTTATATTGAGAAATAATTTGGTTTATTCTTCACCTTAGAAATTTAACACTGCCTATCTTATAATCCGATTCTATACTGTTACAAATGGATCGCTAACTGCGCACCTCGCTGAATGTGATTCTCACCCGCACACCTCCCCGCGTTCGCCGAGCGTCGATGTGACGTCACGGCTCCTAGGTGCGCAGTTAACAAGACTGGGATACAAGTACAACCCAGTACTACAGTACTAATCTTCTATCTTCTATACTTATAATAAATCTGTAGAGAGGTCAATTCTGTACATGAAATATATTTTCAAAATAACTATCAGGGGGTGATTAGTGATCGATATTGATGCCAAAAATGCAATCAGTAAAATTTTTGTCTGTCTGTCTGTATGTTCCTTATAGAAACAAAAACTACTTGACGGATTTTAACGAAACTTGGTACAATTATTCTTCATACTCCTGGGCAGGTTATAGGATACTTAGGAATTCCCACGGGAACGGGCATTAGCGGGAAAATCCTTTTGTATGAAAAATCTAAACCGCTTAAGTTAGACGCTTGAAATTTGGCATGTAGGTACCTTATTAAACTTAGAGCTTAGTTACAACAAGGAATTCCCGAAATTCTCACGGAAACGGGAACAAGAGGGAAAATCCTTTTGTATGAAAAATCTAAACCGCTTAAGTTAGACGCTTGAAATTTAGCAAGCAGGTACCTTAGTAATCTTAAAGCTTAGTTATAACAGGATATTGCAAAATTCCTACGGGAACGGGAGTTAGCGGGAAAAAACATTTGTATGAAAAAATCTAAGCCACTTAAGATAGACGCTTGAAATTTGGCATGCAGGTACCTTAGTAAACTTAAAGCTTAGTTACAACAGGGGAAAATCCTTTTGTATGAAAAATCTAAACCGCTTAAGTTAGACGCTTGAAATTTAGCAAGCAGGTACCTTAGTAATCTTAAAGCTTAGTTATAACAGGATATTGCAAAATTCCTACGGGAACGGGAGTTAGCGGGAAAAAACATTTGTATGAAAAAATCTAAGCCACTTAAGATAGACGCTTGAAATTTGGCATGCAGGTACCTTAGTAAACTTAAAGCTTAGTTACAACAGGATATTGCGAAATTCCAACGGGGACGGGAGTTAGCAGGAAAAAACATTAGTATGAAAAAATCTAAACCGCGTAAGATAGATGAAGGGGGTAAAACGGGTTCCACGCGTACGAAGTCGCGGGCGGCCGTTAGTCCATAAAAAAAATAAGAACATTTTAGTTCTTGCTCGTTTCCGCTAGGGGCGCTGTACAATCCGTCATACATTTCATGTCACTTTTTTACGCGGTCGACATCTAATAAACTCACACTGGGCCCCCTGTAGACTCAAGATTTGAAGAAGAAGGGTCTTCAAACGCTTAATCATCACATAATATTACATGAGTACTTACAGCTTGACGTTTCGAATCGTCGGTTGTGTTGGTACAGCCGTGGTCATAAACAGACTGGCGGCGGTTCGCACGTCGTATATTTGGACGAGCTTGAAGAACTTTGGCTACCCTCACAATTTATTTTTTCAAAGAATATTACAACTCAATCGAGCTAACTGCGCACTTGACTGGAATGCAACTTTCTCTTCCTCTCTTACCTGCACACCTCCCGTTCGCCCCGTCCGTACCAGAGCGTCGTGACGTCACGGCTGTCAGGTACGCAGTTACGCAGTTAGTTAGTTAACTCAATCGGGTGTTGTTACAACTGGATTCACCATAACAGTTGAACGGCGCCGGCGGCGAGGTTCGAACCAACGTTTTTCGGATATCGAGTCGGTCCAACACATTTACTGTTCGGCTATCGTGGCATTAAAAAATTCTAGAGCATTTAACCTTTAACTGGTGACAAGCGGTCTCACAGGCCGGGCAGCGTCAGTGAAGCATCGTTTCACCCCCTTCCCCGTACTTCCCATGTTTCACCGCTTCAGTAGCTTCAAGTTTAGTTGTGTCTACGCCGTAGATAAGGATATTTGCATCATTCAGCTCCAAATCGGCAAGTTACATCGATGTAAAGTTTAGCAGCGGTCTCTCAGACCGCATGTCACCAGTTACGTGACATTTTTTTCATACAGTTTTTTCGTATTTTTACAGTTTTTACTTGCAATTGATACTTAAATAACTCCAAAAAAGAAGCGTAGGATCATTAGTTGGGAATATAGTGCCATACTTTATGAAACGACTTGAAAATTCGCCACTTGAAAAATATCCGGAAAAGGAAGACTCAATTGGGTCGGAAGCCGAATATGTTCCTGAAAACATCGTTCAGGAGCAAAGTGACCATGATTCGGAAGCCGAAGAAAGTGTTTTTGAAGATGAAGGACCAATTGACGAGAATCAGTCAGAAAGTGAAAATGACGGTCAACTTTTATGCCAAACAATAAATGCCCTGACAGCCAATAAAAAATACAAAAGTTTCACCACTGCCAGTTTTCTAAAATGATAGGTTACCTATGTGTGATAGGTTTTTTTAAATTGATTATCATTGGAACTATAATAAAAAATACTAATTTTGTTATAATTAGTTGATTTAAATTTCTTTATTTGCGATTATCGATCTCATCTCTAGTTTTTTGATTTTTATTACTACATATAATTTAACAGCAATTTCTGAATTAAAAATGATATTAAGAGTTTACTATTTTGTTTAAATTTAATTCTTCTATATGCTAGTAATCTGTTTTTAAAGATTGTGGTATGCTACCTTACCTAGTTTCTATGCTACAGTCTTGATACGGTAGCGGCCTCTCAGACCGTACGTCACCAGTTACGTTACACAAAAACCATGTCACCAGTTAAAGGTTAAAAAAAAATACAAAACAGTTGATCATCAATTCATGTAATAAATAAATAAAAAACACATTCACAATAATTCAACTAAAACTCGTGTCCAAATCGTACCCTTGGTGGTGACTTTTCATATGATTCTTGAGACTCCCATTCTGAGTGAACGCTGAGTTGCACAGATCGCATTTGTACCTTCTGTCGTTACTGTGAGACCTAATATGCTCTTGGAGAGACTGCAGCCTCGGGTAGCTTTTTTCACAGAACTCACACCTGAAATTTCTTTCCCCGGTGTGCGTTGCCATATGCTCTTTCAACCTCGATGGAAGGTAAAACCTCTGATCGCACAAATCACACTGATGCCGGTACACTTTCAAATGATTTCTTCTGTTATGCTCCATTAATGTCTTCCTCCTATTATACACTTTGTCACACAATTTGCAAGGAAACGTCCTCTTGTCTCCGTGGACTTCTATCAAATGCTTGTTCCTTTGAGCATAAGACAGAAAACTTGCTTCACATTTATAACAATTAACTGTTGGTTTCTTCTCGTGTACAGTGGCTACATGTAAATATCTGCTGTACTTAGATTTAAGATTCTTCCCACAGACTTCACAAGGGAAATTCGCTTCGACTTTGTTGTGAGATTTGATGTGAGTTCGCAGTGAGTTTTGCTCGAGAAAGCACGCTCCGCACATATCGCAAATATAAGTGCCAAAATGGTCGATCATGTGTTTTTTTAACATATCAAAATACGGAAACACACTGTTGCATTCTGTACACGCTAGATTGTTTGAAGTCAGTCTGAATTTGAGGAATTCGTTGTCAACTGGGTATATGATCTTTCCGTGGGTATTAGTGATGTGCCGCTTGAAAGTATCGATATCGTCTATTTTGTCCGGACACAATCTGCAATCGATCCTTGTGATATCGATTTTGGGTATTTTCTTGTTTTCCATCATGCTTTCAAAGAGTTCTTTTGGGTCATGGGACAACGTATGGTCCCTTAATTCTATGGGGTTCACGAACTGGTCCTTGCAGTAGTAGCAATAGTAGTTGCTGATTCTATTATGGAACGGACAGACGTAGGAGTTCTGTACTATGGTGACTGCGTTGTTATACATCATGTTGTCGTGGTCGAGGGATTCTTTCTTTTTTGCTCGTGGTATCTTCTCTCGTTTTGGGGCAACTGCTTCTGTGGGCAAGGAGCAAGCTTAGTAACGAACTGGAAGGTACGGGTTCGATTCCCGTCGGGGGGCAAATATTAATATGTATACGAGGATGAAACATTTCAGGATTGGGTCTGGGCTGGGTCAAGAATTGGGTACAGGATTCGCAGCGGTGAGAACGAGAGATGGGAATTTACTTCCAATGAGGGTTTTCGCGAATGAAAGATCCGCTAGATGGCGGGACGTGGATGTGGGGTCTGACTGCTGCGTGATTGGTGGATTTTGACATATCTGTCAATGTCATGTCAAAAATAACCAATCATGCAGCATTTGGACCTCGCGTCTATGTATTGCCATCTGGTGGATTTTTCATTCGCGAAAACCCTCATTGTTTCAAACTATGTATACATATTTCTCGTGTAGTACGCATAGTACAAGCTTTGCTAGTATGGGACTAGATGGCGTAGTGTAGACCATGGATATTTATTAAGGGCCCAACGCAATGCACTACAGAAGTGATGCCAACGCGCTACTAACGCGCGACTGCACCGCTACAAAAAGTCGCCGTGGGCGACTCTTAGGTACCTGTAGCGCTCATCATGTGGTCCAGCTTGTCCCTCAGCTTGTTCATCTTGGCCAGCAGCTGCCGTCGCCCGGGCTTCTTGTTGCGGCGCGGCTTGTAGTCCGCGTCGTAAGGACCTACGTACCTTTGGAGTCTCTAGACCCAACCCGTTCAGTTCGTTCGTTCGTTTCAGCCGAATGACGTCCACTGCTGGACAAAGGCCTCCCCCAAGGATTTCCACAAAGACCGGCCCGCGACCTTCACCAGATCGTCGGTCCATCTGGTGGAAGGCCTGCCCACTTTACGTCTACCGTACGTGAATTTGTACGATATGACGTCGTCCATGCCTTATAGTTTGTAGCACCACTTCTATCATGTTTACTCGTAAAGCCTGGTCCGTGAGCACGTAGAATTTTGTCCAATGACCCCAAGCTACCCATCCTTATCGCTCGCGCGTAATTATGTTGCTGTCGCGCTCGCACACTCACTGCGGGCGCCCGTCGCACAGTCGCGACAGCAATATAATTACGCGCGAGCGATAAGGATGGGTAGCTTGGGGTCATTGGACAAAATTCTACGTGCTCACGGACCAGGTTTTAGAACAAAACTAGTTTTTTTTACCTGTAGCGCTCATCATGTGGTCCAGCTTGTCCCTCAGCTTGTTCATCTTGGCCAGCAGCTGCCGTCGCCCGGGCTTCTTGTTGCGGCGCGGCTTGTAGTCCGCGTCCGAGGGGTCCGAGGCCGAAGGCTCCGACTTGGGGTCTTGCTCTTCGAGATCTGAAAAGAGACAAGAATAAGAAATAAATATGTAAAATAAGACACCAAAAATGTTTGAAAATCTTCTAATACTAATATTATAAATGCGAAAGTAACTCTGTCTGTCTGTCTGTCTTGCTTTCACGCCTAAACCGCTGAACCGATTTTGATGAAATTTGGCATAGAGATTTGATTTGTTTGAGTCCCGGGAAAGGATATAGGATAGTTTTTATCCCGGTTTTTGAAACAGAGACGCACGCTATAAAGTTTTGCTGTGACAGACAAAATTCCACGCGGGCGAAGCCACGGGCGGAAAGCTAGTTATAAATAACTTGAAAAAATCGAACTGCCTAAGGCGGGTATGAACTATGAACCCACTGTTGAGATGCGACTCTTAACGCTAAAAATTTTATTTCCTTGTAATATTTATGTGATATTTCTGTCTTTTTCCCGTAAAGAAAGTATTCTTTGTTATTTATGTGATGTTCATCGTAATAAATATTTATTTCTTTCTTTCTAAAAAGAGCTATTTTGCAACAAAAATGTATGTAGTTTAATGTGCTGTTCGTTCGTTCGTTTCAGCCGAAAGACCTCCACAGCTGGACAAAGGCCTTCCCCAAGGATTTCCACAAAGACCGGTCCTGCACCGCTCGCATCCAGCCACCTCACGCAACCTTCACCAGATCGTCGGTCCACCTAGTGGGAGGCCTGCCCACGCTACGTCTTTCGGCTCGTGGTCGCCACTCAAGAACTTTCCTGCCCCAGCGGCCATCAGCTCTTCGAGCTATGTGCCCCGCCCACTGCCACTTGATTTTAGCGATTCTGCGGGCTAAGTCAGTCACTTTGGTTCTCCTACGGTGCTACGGTGCGGTGGTAATGTGCTGTACAAGTTATATTTACCGGGTTCGCCCATGCCCACGTCGTCAGCGCCCATCGAGTCGTTGTCATCTGCCGGCGGTTCCTGTTTCACCTCCAGCAGTATCTTGGTTTCTAGACCTGGAAAATGTAATTTTAAATGTTAAAGAACAAATAAAATAAAAACATATCAATCTGAACACTAGTAGCATAGTGTGTCTAAATAAGTGCTCTACCTATGTAAAAATTGGATGGGACCCGTGATCCAGCAAGAGAAGGGCTTTGTCAATGAAAAGGCTTATTTTCTTCAATATTCTTTCAAAATAGTCTTATACTTATGGTTCTGCAGTGTGTGCTATAGGCGATAAGGGGGGTGTCGTAGTGTTTAGCAGGTTCGTAGTTACCGCCGTATTAATAAGACCCCCTAAGGACGGATTATGACCTTCAGATGTCCAGTTTGCAATTATTATCACACCAAAAATCGATGGTCTTTGCCTAGGCTTAGTGTTCACCTTGCTTGGTCTCAAGCCGGGCGCTCAAGAACACTTCTTCGCTCTGCAGCGCCTGCCGACGGAAGGCGCAGGCGTCGCGCAGTCGCGACACGCACGCCGCGCATATGCAGCACTCCTTGCTGTCCCCGTCCAGGTGGGACAGCTGAAAAATAAATAAATAAATATCCTTGGACATTTACACTGCGCTTCTAGTCCCAAACTAAGCAAAGCTTGTACTATGGGTACTAGACAACGGATATAAACATACTTAAATACTTTTTTTTGTAAATACATACTTATTATACATAGAAAACACCCAGTCCAATACAAACAAATATGTTTATGCTTGTGTGCGGTACGGTTTGTACTGTGCGGGAATCGAACCCGCTACCTACGGAATAGTAGTCCGTTTCGAACCACTACACCAAACGGCCGAAAATGGTTACGAGGAAGAAATATTTTTATAGACTGGTGACAAACCTATTTTCAAAAAAGTTGTGACACTAAAAAAAAAGTAAATGGCCCAACCATTTACTTTTTCTTCGCTTTCGATCGCAAAATTTTTTTTCATACTAGGGGGTTGTGTCATGAAAAGGGTTGAAAAACACTGGTTTAGTTTTAGACTAACTGGATTACTTCTTACATAATCATCAAATGCTCGTAGTTGTTATTGATCTCATTCTTTTTTTTGCTCTACCATAAGTAAAATTTGAATTATTAAGGACTTCAGGGCCTGAGCAGGTGTAAATATAACACCAGTGATAATACCCAGTAGTTACTTTAAAAAAATACATTCTGTGGGATATTGAACTGCCACTTTTTTTGAAGTCAGTTCAAAAATAATGTAAATTCCATGTGAAAAAGTAGTCAATTGTCAGTGATCGTCTTTACAACATTTTTTTAAATTATTTAAACTATTTTCATGCCTGATGCAAATATTGTAGTGAACAACAACAGTTTAATATTTTACTCATAGGTCTTCTATTAAGAGCTTATGATGTAAAATTCACAAGCATTGGGCAATTAGAAAAATTAGATTAGGTTTTAATTGTAGGGAAATAATTCAAAGTATGAAAAATATTTACAGAAGAGCTTAGAAAAAGGATTTAGGACTTTTTAGGACTTGGTTTGCTGCTTATTCTACAGAACCAAGGAGGAAGGATTTACCGTACTTTAAAGAAATAGATATCTAGGATGTACACAGCTCAATGAAATTAAGTTAGCTTACCAATAAACCGAAGCAGTCCATAAACATATCTGAGTAAATTTCCTTCTCGCCATTCCACAAGTATTCTGCGGTCAAAAGTCGACATTTTTTAATGGACCTGCAACAACGGCACAGTCCAGGGTCCACAATGGGTCCTCTATTTTTCCCTGACCCCGATGGAGTAGCCATTTCTTGATTTATTTACATTTAAATTCAATAAAACTTCGATTCTTCACATCAACACAAGACGATACAAAATTAACTATAGTCGTGTTCCATTCCAATCCGTCAATGTTTCAGCAGAGTATTTTTTTTTTAGGATTTTTGTACAAAGTTTGATCGTAAGCAAAACACAAAAAATATATTTGAAAACACAGATATGGAACATGACCAACGCAACGTCAAAAGCGTTTCGTTTTTGATACGAGATTTTATCATAAAGTTAATATTCCTTCCGAAGGAATATTAACTTTATGGATTTTATTCCCTTTATTAAAAATAAATTAATTCGATTATGATTATAAAAACCTTCGAGCAGGGAACTTTTAAGGAGATGATATTCCGCTCTTACCCTGCTTCTCACCTGCCGGGCTATGCACGCCGTGATAAAACTTATCGAATATTTTAGACGATAAATTAATGTATGAGCTTATCGCGTAAGATTGATAAAATGGCGTGATAAACGCTTATCGCGGCGCGCATCCTAGGCCTACTGATGTGAAAAGTGATCAGGCCAAAGGTGAAAGCGAGCATCCTCAACCACAGAGGAACTTAAAAACTGCCGGAACATTTTTGTTATGGTGATAGACGTAAGATAGTGGCTTGTCAGGCGGACTAGATGTTAGAACAAGCCCTACATCCCTAAGCTACCTCCAACCAAACGGAGCAGAAAGTTTTGCTCCCACTAGTAATAGAACCTTGGACCTCTGGATCTGAATCTGAAGTAGGTGGTCCAGCCACTACACAACAGGAGCGGTATACCTAAGTCGCGCAGCGAGAGTTGGGGCGATCAACACAAAGATTATTTTATTTAATACCTATTAGTTTTGGTTTTTATGGCTGTTTTTTTTTATAGCTTGAATGTGATAGAATGCACTGACTAGGGTAAATGCGCAATTATCGTCTCATAAAAATAATTTAAAAAATATTAAGCAAAAAAAAAAGTGAAAAGTTTTTAAATTGAAGTTCACCAAGTTCAGGGATTCACGAAAAATGAAAGCATCAACACTAACTTTTTAAACTGTTTTATTATAAAACTTATAAATTAAAGTCAATATTACTTCACTTGACCACTACTTAGGAATATTATCGTCATCATAATCTATGAGATTAATACTTATTTTTATTTACAATATTTAATTACTAAAATAAGCATTTACAAGACTTTAAACGCACATTTTTTATTAATTATTAATAATATTTTAGGTTTCAAAACTTAGCCTTGTGATGATAAATTATTATTATTGTGATTTGTTCAGCATAACTGACTAATTTGATATCTAGAACTATTTTATTTGTTTGTAAAAATATATAAATTGTGATGAATTTGTTTACATCAGACTTACATCGCACTTTGACCAATAAACAAAGTATAAACCGAAAACTTATGAATGTTACTTAAAAATCTTTGTGTAAAATATTAATCTACAATAGGTACATTTCTATATTAAACTGTATAAATAAATCATCCTACACATCATTACTCCTACTATACCAATACATTTGATAGATCGTGCTTAAATAATATTAAAACAATAAAAACATTATCGCAAATGCAGAATTACATTTCAAGAGATTGTGTTAGCGAGTTCAAAATTATGAACGCTAATATTGTAATTTATTTGTACTCTTAAGAATACTTTGCTGACGAAAATGTTGATGTCGTGTTTGTTAAACATCTATACTTATAATAAATCTGTAGAGAAGTCAATTCTGTACATGAATAATATTTTCAAAATAACTATCAGCGGGTGATTATCGGGAATAAATTAGGTTTAATAATTAATTATTATGCTGCCTTATTAATAAGCGTTTAAAAATCTAACAATACTGTTCTGTTATACAAAATAATCTCAATAAAAAAAATAATGTAAAAAATAATAAATATAAATAACTTAGAAAGTATACTTTACACACTGTGATGTTTTAAAGTGATGTTGGTAAAATAATTCTCCATATTATAATGATATAAATTATAATTACTTGTAAAATAAATTGTGATGTTTTAACGTGATGTTGGTATAATAATTCTAAAACAATATAAATTATAATTACTTAAAAAATACACTGTGATGTTTTAAAGTGATGTTGGTAAAATAAATCGATAATTTAATAAATATAAATAATTACGTTTGAGAAATTGCAATTTGATTCAAGTGTAAAACGCACGATCTACCCCATCTAATACACAATAATCTCAATACAAACACACTAGCAATATCCACACAAGTTTCAATTATCTTAGAAATAACATCCCTCTATGTCACATTCAGGATGGTGGTTCTTTATGTGGGACTTCAGACTCGGGTTTTGTATGAACGCTTGACCGCAAATGTGACATCTGTACCTCCTATCGTTTGTGTGCGTTCGTATGTGGTACTGCAGAGACTTCAACCTAGGATACGACTTGTCGCAGTACTCACATCGGAAGTTTCTCTCGCCTGTATGAGTCGCCATGTGCTCCTTCAACCGAGACGGCAAGTAAAACCTCTGATCGCAATACTCACACTGATGCTTCAACACCTTTTGGTGATTCCTTCTCTGATGCTCGGTCAAAGTCTTCTGCCTATTATACACTTTGTCACACAAGTTACACGGGTACGTTCTATTTTGGCCGTGGGCTTCGGTCAAATGTTTGTTCTTTAACGCGTAAGACATGAAACACTCGTCACACCGCGGACACCGTATGATGGCCTTTTTCTTGTGCACTATATCCACATGCATGTCCTTGTAATGGTTTGATTTGAACACTTTTCCGCAGACTTCGCACGTGTGTCGCTCGTCGTCCTTATGTCGTTTTAAATGGGCGTCCAAGCGTGGTTTTTCCAAGAAACAGAAGCCGCAGATATCGCAGGTGTAGTTACTGAAATGCCCCACCATATGGGTGTTGAGGGTATTGAAATCTTCGAATACATCGTTACACATGACACAGACTAAATCGTTCCACGTCAGTCTGAAGAGCAGCATCTTGTCCGGTGCTTCAAAGTATATTTTCTTGCCGTGGATCTGGTCTATGTGCTGTTTAAAGGTGTTAAGATCGTCTATTTTGGCCGGACAGAGTCTGCAGTCAATTCTTGTGATGTCAATTTTGGGCATTTTCTTGTACCCCATGAGAAGCTGGAACGGTTTGGTGTCGTGGGTCGCTGTGTGTTCTCTAAGGTCTTCTGGTTTTGGGTAGTAATCTTTGCAGTAGAAGCAGTAGTAGTTGTTTCTTCTGTTCTTGAAGGGGCAGACGTAGGAGTATTGGATGATCGTTATTAGGTTTTCCTCAGACATGCAGTCGAGGTCCCTGTCGTAGTTGTGGCGTTTTTCGACGGGCGGTTTTTTCACTTTGATCACTTTTTTTGAGGAACCTGTAAGGTACAAAAATAACTTTACTGAATCATCATCTACACCACTGTAGGTCACGCAGCGAAAGTTGAGCCGAACATAATATACCTACTCACATTGATTTAATATTTGAATACAGAAGCCATAATACGCAAGACTTCAGCGCGCCACGCGTATACAGATACAAATATTTGCTTGTGTTGATCGCCTGCACTCTTGTTGCGCGAACTATACCGTGTTTGCCTAAACTTTCGTTGCGCGACCTAAGATTTGTATTTACTTCGTAATATTCTGTTCACTCACCAGCTTTCTCCTTCTTCGCCTTAGCCACTTTCGTCTTCTTCTTCGTAGACCCATTACTCTTCGTAGATTTTGTCTTCTTGCTTCTCTTTCTTTTGATCGGCTTGTCGGAATCTGAAGATGATGCGTACGAGTCGTCGCTGTCTTCTGTGCTGCACTTTGGTGGCGGTTCTATGTCGTTTGCTTCTATGTCGATTTTCTCCTCTTTTGTGTCCGGTTTCACTTCTGTAGAGAGAATAATGTAGCGTGTTTATGACGTGTTAAAACCACTTCTTTTTTTTTATCCACAACGAGGAAGCTCTTGACCTGTATCTCACCTGATGGTAAGTGACGATCAGGCCGAAGGTGGAAGCGAGCTTCACCCGGAATCCTCAACCACAAAGGAACTGGCTATCTTACCTCTAACTGCCGGAACACAACAATGCTGTTCTGGGGTTTGTCAGTGATCAAAAAAGAGTCAATGAATGAATGACAAGATTTGCGGATGGCGTACCAAAATAGCTCCCTAAATTGATATAATTTGTGACAAATAACTAGGTAAGTATGTCTTTGGAAGAACCAGTAAATGTTGAGGTAAACCAGAGCTTGGCAAGCATAGATAGAATAGAGCTTTTTACGTCTAAGTGGAATGATGAGTCTGACGCAGAATGTACGCTGTTGGCGCATTTATTCTAACAAGGGGCACTTCTCAAAATGTGCATTTCGCAAAATGTGAATTTGGTAAGATGCATACTTTTCCAGATGGCTAGCGAAAGGTCGCTGGTAGACACTTGATGTGACATGTTGAGGCCTATGTTCGACATTAGCTAATAATGATAATGGAACATCCAATAGGAATATGGAAAAAAACTTGGTATACAGAATAGATAAAGTCCGGTCGCCGAACACGTAGAATTTCGTCCAATGACCCCAAGCTACCCATCCTTATCGCTCGCGTGTAATTACTAATTATATTGTTGTCACGAATGTGCGACGGGCGGCCGCAGTGAGTGTGCGAGCGTGACAACAATATAATTACGTGGTAGCTTGGGGCCATTGGACGTAATTCTACGTGCTCGGCGACCGGACTTTAGATCAATATACCATACCTGTATCATCAGCGGAGTAGTCAATCGACAGTCTGTCGTCGTGGTCCATCTCGAGGACGGAATTGTGATCGCTGACGTCATCCTTGGGCTCTATCTTGGGCTCAATCTCCAGGGGCTTCTTGGTCTCTGTGGAGGAGTACAAACATTGCTGGTTGATGAATGTGGTAGAGATAAGTACTAATGTGGGTCAGGCCCGGTTTCCACTAAAGCGGAGATGAGAGGAGATATGCGACGAAGCTGGCAGTTTATTTCCACCAAAACGTAGCGTACTTAGACCAGACGAGTGAAGAGATGTGAGATTATGTGTAGAAAAGGCAGTAGGGATTATCCCTGCATAATCTTTCACATACATAGCCTTTCTTGGGAACAAGGCGCGCGAGGCCATTTTCACCGAAAGCTGAGCAGAGAGATGTAGAAATAAGGAAATCTGATTGGTTATTACAGATTTTCTCTCGTCTCCGCTCCTCTCCGTCTAAGTGGAAGCCGGGCTTTAGTGTAGTTAGTTATTATGGCTCGTCACGCGGCGATGTATTTGCCTCAGGACGAGGCAGCCGTTCGGCCTGAGGTTGCCTCGCAATGTATCTGGAGTGACGCTCCTACTGTCATTTCTGGCTGGCATAAAAGAACAGCTGTACCTGGTGCCTAAATTACCTGATGATGAAGGATGTAGTGGAAGTCTCCTACCTTCCGCCCTCTTGTACTAAAGCGTGCAGGAACAGCTCCTGACATGCACCTGGTGCGTCATTTTCACAGTGAATTAACCTGATGATGAAGGATGTTATAGGTCTAGCTCTCAACTCAGTGTCTGAACGCCGTATTCACAAACGATTCTTACTTAAGTGAAGCAGCAAATCAACCGCACAGCGTTGAATAGAGCTCTGTGATTGGTTCGTGTGTCACCTTGTGCGTCCACGTGCACTGTTTGTGAATACGGGCGTGAGTTATGGAAGCAGCACGGCAAGGGACGATTTTGACGTGACGGAGCATAAAAAATATGAAGTCTCGCTGACATTTGACGTAAGAAAATCATCCTCCCGTGCCGCTTCCACACCTCAGGCACTAAGTTATAAGCTGATAGGTGAGTTATGAGGCAGGTTTAAGAATCGCGCTGACCGCTCGCTGATCGTCGAACTGCCAGATCAATATGTACAATTTGAAGGAAACGTTCCTGAGTGACGCTGATCGCTCGGCGCCGTCGCTTCATACATTTTGGCCGTCAGCGCCGACGGTCAGCGTGCGTCAGCGCGATTCTAAGGCCTCAGCCTCGAACTTAGCGGGCAGCGGGGCGGGAGCGGCGGCGGCGCTGGAGCGGGGCGGGCAACGCAGACCCGTTCTCGAAACAAGCGGGCAGCTCGCGCGGCGCTTTAGCGGCGAAGTGTTGTGATCGGGGTTGTGTTGTCGAGATATTTGTTTTCATTCGCAAACGAAATGTCTGAACAACGGCGACAATTTTATTTCGATATTCCTAACGCTCGATTTATTGTGGGCAAAAGAAGGAGTGCGCTGCCCGCTCGTTGCCCGCTCCCTCGCCGCTGCCCGCTCGTTGCCCGCTCCGGCGCCGCTGCCGCGCCGCTGTTTTCGAGAACCGGTCCATTTGATTTTACGCATAAGATCCTGCCGCTCCCGCGCCGCCGCCGCCGCCGCCGCCGCCCCGCTGCCCGCTAAGTTCGAGGCTGAGGCCTAAAACTAGCCTAAGTGGAAGTCTCCTACCTTCCGCCTCCTTGTACTCCAGCTTGGCGTGCAGGAACAGCTCCTCGCACTGCAGCACCTGCTGCCGGAGCGCGAGCGCGTCGCGCAGACGCACCACGCACGTCGCGCAAACGCCGCTGTCGCGCTCGCTTTCGTCCACGTGCGAGAGCTGCATAATAATAATATAATAATAATATAAGCCTTTATTACTGGATTACAAGGTATTTTACAACATTAACATTTCATTTTACAATTTAGTTGCACTCATCTCCAGTTTGTCCTTGGACATAGGCCTCCTCCAATGATCTCCATGCTTCTCGGTTTCTAGCCATTTGTGGCCATAATGGCCCTGCTAATTCGCGGATATCGTCCTCCCATCTTTTCGCTTGTCTACCTCTATTTATTTACTGTATATATATATGCAGCGAGAGCTGCATAGTAAATAAATAAAATAAATAAATAATAAATATCCTTGGACATTTTTACACTGCGCTTCTAGTCCCAAACTAAGCAAAGCTTGTACTATGGGTACTAGACAACGGATATAAATAAACATACTTAAATACTTTTTTTTTCGTAAATACATAGAAAACACCCAGTCCAATACAAACAAATGTTTGTACTGTGCGGGAATCGAACCCGCAACCTCCGGAATAGTAGTCCGTTTCGAACCACTACACCAAACGGCCGATAATGTTTCAGGCTTAGCGCTCCTGCACACGACGCCGCCACCGTGCCTTTCCACTGTTTATACGCGCCGCGTGAAGCCCGCTGCCGCGCCGCTGGCGAAATTATGCTTTGATGGCGCGGTGGCGGCGCGGCGGCGGGCTTTACTCGGTGCGTATGAACAGTGTAGGGGCGCGGCGACGGCGCAGCGGCGGCGCGGTGGCGGCGTCGTGTGCAGGAGCGCTTAGGCTGTAACACCATCTCACTTATAACTTTGACAACCATCAAAAATCTGCCAAACTTCATACATAAAGCACCGGTTATTAATATTGTTACGGTTAAAATAAGGTGGTGCAACTCAGCCTTAAATTGAAAGAGAATAGAACCTTTGTGGGATATCCACCATTCGAAAAACCATTTGAATTTTACAATTTCGCTGGCAACACAGTACCAGTCATTGTGGAAACCCTAGGGCGTGCCTAGGGGGATGGCTAGCATTTACCACGATACTTCATTTTGGTTATTCCCAGGATTTCATACCTTGATACAGCATGGAAATACAAATCTTAATCTTAACAGTTTAAATTAGTAATCGTAAATTGCTTAATCATGCTTTTTTTAAAGGTCAAGCCTAGAGTGTAAACAGTTCAGCATAAACTTTAAATTTAAAATCAAAAATCATCAATTTACCACTTTTTAGACATTTGTTTCATGCTCATGGGGTTGATTTTGAAACCTTTGGTAGATGACCTGATGTTATTATGTTATAGTTTAAATAATGTGTGACCTAACACACTATTTAAACAATCCAGACAAGAGTGTAATTTCTAAATGATAATTTGTTTGTAAATACTTATCCATGTAAGAACTTTTCTGGCTTTTTGAGAACAATTAATACTTTTGTACAAAACAAAATGTTTTTTTGTTGTTCTTATAGCATAGTTATGAGGCTAAAATTAAAATAAAATAAACATTGAAAATATTTTTTTTAATGCTTTAAGTGAAAGTGGATGTTTTACATTTTTAGCAATAAAATTGCTATTAAAGTTATATCACAGTAAATACTCACGAGAATACCAAAACAATCCATGATCATATCCGCGTACACTTCTTTTTTGTCCATCCAAGTATACTCGGCGGTGAGAACCCTGCATTTCTTGATGGCACGACAACATCTACAAAGAGCTGGGTCTATAATAGGCCCGTTATTTTTGGGCGCACTCATTTTTACCGTTTGTAAATATAATTTAATGTGTTTCAGTAATAATTATTCCATATTATAGCACCCAAGCGATTTTGGGATGTGGCCCAAGCACCAAAATAATGGCCCACGACACGAAAGCTTTCCCAAAACGACAAAATGTCAATAAAAGAAGCACAGACTAAAAAAAATGCGTTTAGTTTACTGCTTCAAGGAGAAGCTTTCCAATCACTCGATTATGATTGTGATTTTAATACTGTAACATCACTATTTCTTGTCTTTGACATAAGTTGGTGTGACCATAAACGTAAATTACCAAAAAATGGGGAATTTTAGTTTTTGTGAGATCCTACCACTAATTTCGTTTTTTTTTGTTAAAGCCAATGTAACCGAATTTTCATGTTATTATGAAAAATCTTGCTTATTGTCTCATAATCTTGTCTTCATGCAAATGAATGTGTAAAAACTGACAGTAATATTCTGCTAACACGCACGGTGATATCTCAGAATATTCGATAAAAAATGTTCTTGTTCATTTACGAGTCACGAGTTTAAAATGGGATGATGAGCAATAATACTGCATCATGATGCGATAAGCGATCGGTCAACTACACTGGTCAACAGTGGTTTTGGTGCCAAGGAACTGTATATATTTTTTGATTAAGGACCTTATACTGGTTGCTTTAGTAGCAAATTGGTTGATTTCCTACGTGTGGTTTTCTAGATTTTGAGGTGTATAGAAAAATACAAAATTTCACCAAAATCAGCGTTTATAATATTTTGAAGTGCTTAAAAACTTTCTTTTCCACGACTTTTGTGAATGAGGTGTAATGGAACTATCACGTTACATCCTCCAGCAGTAATCAGCCATCATATAGCTATCCCATCTGCCTTGGTACCTCTCTTCCAATGGTTTTTAGGTCTTGATAGCATCGCTCTCCCTGTTCTTAGCTATAGCATGTTATAGTGACCCAAGATTCTCTGGGAATTGGTCAAGATGACTGTGGAGGTAGTGCCCTTTGATGAAAATTATTACATCCTGAGTTTTTAGGGCATGTCTCACAATTTCATAGTAGTTACTAGTCCTGTGATTTCCGAAAAAATTTTTAGTAACTTCAACGAAATAAGTCCACGTATATCGTTCTAAACGTCCATCAAACTTAAGAAATCAGTATCTTTTATTAATATTCTTATTTGTGGGCCATCAAAAATTTACTGCTTTAACCTTTTTTTATGCTCAAACCAGGATTTTTTTTTGTTTTTTCCTCACTTTTTCCACTCTGAACTTCATGTTATGGCTTCTTTGACCATTGAAACATTGCCTCAGTGTTCACAGCAGATTATACAAACAATTTCGGGTATCCACGGCTTGAATACAACCACAATTTCCGACTTAAAGTAAGAAAAATAAGCACTTTTTATTAAAATTTTGTCTAAATTTTTGAAATTCTTAACTGTGTACACATCACAAATGTAACAAATTACATTTGGATCGTTGAGGCAACTTCTTGGCAATGCAGACATCATATTAAAATAAATTTCGTTATAAAAATGTACCGATAACATTACAAACTGTGCAACCAAAGTACCGATTAAAGCTAAAATTTAAAACTGAGGGTAGATCAAAAACTACACGTAGGAAAAAAAAAAGAAAAATATTTTTATTATTACTAATAAACACCTAATAATAAACTATCAACAGAATCTCGGCACCATTTTAATTTTGATTTTTTGTTGACCAGTGCTATCGTCTATCACTGGCCATCACCCCACCCTGCGCGTCAGTGTATTATTATTTATAAATTGTTGGTAATTTAAATATCGAACCTGGTATTCCGTTAAAAATTTCATCACCACCTTGGACGAGAGGCATTTGGCTTGGCTTCATTTTATTTTCCTATAGCTACATTTTTTGTTGTGAAAATGGATCAAGAAGTTCAAAATTCTGATACCGAAGTTTTCGGAAGATGCAGGTGCTGCTTAGAACTTGGCAACGTGAAGGACATGTGGACTCCGTATCCATGGGATGGAGCTAATGAAATCTATGGTGAAATGCTCATAGAAACGTTCTCAATAACTGTAAGTAAACAAAGTTTATAAAATTTTCTGTACAGCTGTTCAGAAATGATAATTTCAAAGAAGATTGGACGATGGATTATAACCCCCATCATTAGATTAATCTAAGCCCCAATCTGACCCCATTCTTGTGCTTTTGGGTTCTATTTTAATCATGCATACCTATTTGTAAACTTTATAACTATGATAACCTCAGAAAAAAATTAATAAAAATAGTAGCACTATTTTAAAATGCTTTAATCAAAGATTTAAAAAGTACCCCATAACCATAAGGGACATTTTACATGTCTCTCTTCATTTGGGCCCTACCATGGCTGGCCGTAATAGCGTATTATATTTCAAAATTTCAATTACGGTTAAAGCAGTTGCCTGGCAAGCAAATGGTTGTGGGAGTAATTCCCATAGGTTTTTTCATGTTATTAATAAAATAATGTTTATTCCACAGTGGGATTCGTCAGCGACCAATGAGGTGATTTGTGAAATGTGCGTGGGAAGACTACGGGACGCGCACACTTTTAAAAGGGAGGTGTTGGCCAGTGAAAAGTTGCTAATGGACGGAGCGTTAGGTCTGTATGCTAGCTAATTGTTTCAAAAATATCTTTATTTATATAGACCACTAGCTAGACTAAAATCGGTTCAGTGGTTTAGGCGTGAAAGCCACACAGACAGACCGACAGTTACTTTCGCATTTATAATATTAGTAACGATTTAGTTCTTACAAATCGTCAAATGCTATTAAGGAACGAACCCACGACCTTTCGAGGCGACTTTGCGACTTTTGAAAATTTCGTTTGGTTCACCCAGTGTCTTAAGTAGCTCAGAAGGAAGAGCAATCGCCTGGCAAGGGTCAATTTATTTGTAATTTAGCATTAGTAAACGCTCTCATGATTTTAATTTCTTTAATATTTTTTTTAGATTCCGAATCAGAATCCGTAAATGAAGAAAAGTTATCAGAGATGGATCAGTACGAGATCATTACATACCATGAGGAAGGCGAAGAAGACAACGATGAAATTGTATTCGAGCAGATTGAAGAGGATGATGTGCAAATCAAACAAGAAGAAGATGAGGACATTGAATATGAGGAAGTTGAATATCTAGACGATGAAGTACCAGAAGGTAAGGAATCTTCATTATTCGTCATCATCATTGCAGCCATAGGACGTCCACTGCTGAACATAGGTCTGCCCCAATTTTTTTTTATGACAATATCTTGGAATAGTACGCCCTTACACCAATTACTCATCTACATACACACCCACACACACGCTCACACACACACACACACACTCACACTCTCATATCATTGTATTTTTATGGTATTTTTTATTTTATATTTTGTTTAGCCTGTCTATTTAATTAGAACTCAACACTCTGTACCTCTAGGAATCTTCTAATTATTTAAATGTATAACTATTTAATAAAATAGATTCCGCAGAGTGGGCCTGGTGACCTGTAATACAGATTTTCTTAAAATCTACAATAGGCACCAGCTCTCACAATGCAATCTATAGTTTAACGGATATATTATAAGAAATGTTTCATAATTTATGTTGTGAGAGAAATAAATAAATAAATTATTATTATTATAAATGATTTCCACATTGGCCGGTTGATGGCGGCCTGCATACAGCGCCTTCCCGCTACCTTTAGGAGGTCGTCGGTCCACCTTCGTGTCTTTTCGCGCAAACGTCCATTCGCGCTCATGTCTTTTCGCGCAAGTGTCTGTCTATGCGCGCAAATGTCTTTAGCCCCCAATCTTTGACCCCAAGCTACCCATCCTTATTGCTGTCGCGCTCGCACACCCACTGCGGCCGCCCGTCACACAGTCGACCACAACATGTACTGATGTTGTTGTCTTAATAAGGATTATTAAATAAAAAGAAAATTATTTCTTTCTTTTAGTCGGCCGTTTGGTGTAGTGGTTCAGAACGGACTACTATGCCGAGAGGTCCCGGGTTCGATTCCCGGCCGGGCAGAAATTGAAATGATGAATTTTAATTTCTGTGACGGGTCTGGGTGTGACTATGTATAATATTTATGTATTTAAAAATAAAAAAAATGAATAAAAAAGGATTTAAGTAGTATATCCGTTAAGCTAGCACCCATAACACAAGCATTAAGTTGCTTACTTTGGGGCTAGCTGGCGCTGTGTGAAATTGTCCAAAGATTTATTTATTTATTTTTTAGCCTGATCATTAAAAAATCTCTTCCTAATCTTTGGGCCAAACAGAATTTATGTTACCAATGATCTTTTGTTATAGAACACCAAAAGAAGGAGAAAAAAAAACGCAAAGCAGCTGCCGCTAAATCGTCTAAGAAAGCAAAAGCAGTGAGCATCAAACAAGCGCCGCAAAGTGGCAGAAAGCGGAACTACAGGTATGCAACGACGTCACAATAATATCTAAAGCCTGGTCCGTGAGCACATAGAATTCTGTCCAATGACCCCAAGCTACCCATCCTTATCGCTCGCACGTAATTATATTGCTCTCGCGACTGTGCGACGCGCGCCCGCAGTGAGTGTGCGAGCGCGACAGCAACATAATTACGCGCGAGCGATAAGGTTGGGTAGCTTGGGGTCATTGGACAAAATTCTACGTGCTCACGGACCAGGCTTTACATAATTATACTTCTATACTAAACTAATATTGTAACTCGGCGTTTCTTTACGAGATCGAATCAGAAATGAGGAGATCCGTAAACGAACTAAAGTCGCTGACATAGCCCGACGGATTAGCATGCTGAAGTGGCAATGGGCAGGGCACATTGTATGCAGAACTGACGGCCGATGGGGCAGCAAGGTTCTGGAGTGGAGGCCGCGTACCGGAAAGCGCAGCGTGGGACGTCCACCCACAAGGTGGACCGACGACATCATAAAGGTAGGAAGGCGCTGGACGCAGGCCGCTGCCAACCGGGAAACATGAAAAGCATTGGGGGAGGCCTATGTTCAGCAGTGGACGTCCTATGGCTGTGATGATGATGATGATGATGAATATTGTAAAGCTGTATAGTTTTGTTTGGTTGAACGCGCTAATCTCAGGAACTACTGGTCCGATTTGAAAAATTATTTTTGTGTTGGATAGCCCATTTATCGAGGAAGGCTTTAGGCTATTTAACATCACCCTACAGCAAATAATGGCGGACTAAAAAAAAATGTTGCTAAAACGGGAAATATTACACAGCTAAAGTCCGGTCGCCGAGCACATAGAATTTCGTCCAATGACCCCAAGCTACCCATCCTTCTCGCTCGCGCGTAATTATATTGCTGTTGCGCTGTGGCCGCCCGTCGCACAGTTAGTAGCTTGGGGTCATTGGACGAAATTCTATCTGCTCGGCGACCGGACTAGTAAATCATAAAAATTACCTGAGGCTGACAATAGTGTCTGAGTTTCTTGCGCTGCTTCTTCTCAGCACTGGCCCAGTTATTGTCACGAAGCAGTGGTAGGATTAATACTTAATATGTACAGGGACGTGTAAAAGTGCTTTTTAAAAGCCTATTTGCAAAAATAAATGAGTTTTATCAGTGTTTACCATGACTTTGACTTGAATTATGGTCCTATGTCCCCTAGATGGGGCAGAGGGCGTCCACAACAGTCCTCCATCGCGTTCGGTCTTGAGTTTCGCGTTTGATCTCGCTCCAAGTCTTGCCGATCTTCTTCGCCTCGTCTGCTACAGTGCGCCGCCAAGTTTGCTTGGGGCGACCACGTTTGCGTTTTCCTTGGGGGTTCCAATCCAGAGCCTGCTTGGTTTACCATGATGATAGCCAAATTATAGGAAATTAGCTTTCCGCCCGTGGCATCGCGCGTGTTGACTACGTTATTTACATACTAACCCTTTTTTTTTTTCAAAATAAAATTTAGCCTATGTTACTCGTGGATAATGTAGCTTTCGAATGGTGAAAGAATTTTTAAAAACGGTCCAGTAGTTTTTGAGCCTATTCATTACAACCAAACAAAAAAACAATCAAACAAACAAAGTTTTCCTCTTTATTATTATTATTTATTAATAAAATATAATATAAATACAATAAATATAATAAATATATATTATATAAATAAATATAATATAATATACAGGGTGTTACCTTGCATTCTTGCCATATTTACAGAGGTTACTATATTACTGATACTGAACACAAATCCGTAAAAAAATAATGCCCGAAAAATTTTTTTTTTAATCTTGAGTATTTTATTTTATCGACAATCTATTAAACACACCACTAATTATCGTAACGCATGCACATCACTTGTTGGCGATGGCGATGTAGACTTTTTTACTTTTTATTGTATTTTTAAATATCTATTGCAATCTATTGTCTTTAAAATGTCTTTTTGACACTTGTAAAAAACTGAGAAATCCATCAAACACNTCTTTTTAATATTTGCACGCTTCCTAGTTTGAGCAAATTTCAGTGAAACCTACCAAATCTATGTAAGACCACTTATGTGCCTGGAATTACGCAAATAAAGAAATTTGATTTGATTTGATTTGATTAGGATGTACACCGAGGCGACCCTCCGTCAATGCGTGGAGGAAGCAATGTCAAGCACGGAGCCTCTGTCCAAGGTGGCGGCGCGCTACGGCATCCCCAGGAAGACTCTGATCGCTAGAGTATACAACATTAAGCACGGGCTGAAACCTGGTGAGTGGATCATCTATGTATACTTATAATAAACTAGCGGCCGCCCACGACTTCGTACGCGTGGATCCCGTTTTACCCCCTTTTCCCGAATTTTCTTTGCTATAAACCTCACGGAGCCCGAGACCTTTCCAACGAATGCAAAACCGTGGAAATCGGTTCGTGCGTTCTGGAGTTATAGCGTCAGAGAGGAAAACCCGACTTATTTTTATATAGTAGATCTGTAGAGAGGTCAATTAGTGATCGATACTGATGCTAAAAATGCAATCAGTAAAATTTTTGTCTGTCTGTCTGTATGTTCCTTATAGACACAAAAACTACTCGACGGATTTTAACGAAACTTGGTACATTATTCTTCATACTCCTGGGCAGGTTATAGTATACTTAGGAATTCCCACGGGAACGGAAATTAGCGGGAAAATCCTTTTGTATGAAAAATCTGAACCGCTTAAGTTAGACGCTTGAAATTTGGCATGCAGGTACCTTAGTAAACTTAAAGCTTAGTTACAACAGGATATTGCAAAATTGCCACGGGAACGGGAGTTAGCGGGAAAAAACATTTGTATGAAAAAATCTAAACCGCGTAAGATAGATGAAGGGGGTAAAACGGGATCCACGCGTACGAAGTCGCGGGCGGCCGCTAGTTAATAATAATTATCCTAATATTATATGCGAAAGTTTGGATGTCTGGATGTTTGTTACTCTTTCACGCAAAAACTACTGAACGGATTTTGTTGAAACTTTACAGTATTATTATTGTTTGTTACCCCTAATAGGCTATAATTTATGCCGATCTGTGACAAAATTTCACGCGGGTGAAACCGCGGGCAAAAGCTAGTTAAATAATAGAGTAAGCATAATAATAATAATAAAATCATTTATTTGCAAGAACATGGTTACAGATGGGTGTTAACTGTTAATTTAATAAATTCCAGCATATTCTGTCGCATGCGACGTGCAAAAGTTCTTGTTCTTAAAGTTATGTTAATTATTATTGCTACATTTAGTTTTAGACTTAACATATTTTACAACTCAAAATACTTATTTTACTCGTAGTTGTTTTTCATACCAGTAACAATACAATAAATAAATGTCAGGAAACGAAATTTGAATGAGGGCTATCGTTTTTATACTTAACAGTTGGCACCCCTGGCGATTGACAGGACCTTACTCTACAGTGGCGCCATCTTGATGAGTGCAATTGCGATAGTCCTCCTACCACTTTAGCGCTCACAAGTTGGCGCCACTGTCTTCGCTACTAGCAAGTGACAGGACCTTACCCTACGGTGCCGCCAACTGGTGAGCGCTAAAACGATAGCCCTCATTGCATGACGAGCAGCCATCCCGTGCCGCTCACATATAATTTTTTAAGCAAAACAGAGCAGGTATTTCTGGAATGCAATCTCACTTGATTTTTATTAGGAACAGTCTAGGGTGGTAGTAAACGCTTATTCACTCTCGCCTTGAAGAGGCCCGGATTATTGTGTTCGGGAAAAACAGCAGCAAGCAGCGAATTCAGTTCTTAGCTGTTCACATTAAAAAGAGACTGCCTACACTAGGTACTATCGGGGNTAGTACGTCTTCCGGCCCGTGGTCGCCACTCAAGAACTTTTCTGCCCCAATAATATGCAAAGCTTGTAATATGGGGCCATCCATAAAGTACGTCACACGAATTTCATGATTTTTTGACCCCCCCTCCGTCCTTGTCACAGGTGGTCACATTTCTGAGACCCCCCCCCCCTCCCTAATGTGACGTCACATGTTTTGCAATTTCACATCGAAAAATTATTAAATTAACAGCAGTTCCGAAATTAGTTTTATTTCCATTTAAATTAAGTACTTTTTTTATTAAATCAACATTATATCNTGTTTTGCAATTTCACATCGAAAAATTATTAAATTAACAGCAGTTCCGAAATTAGTTTTATTTCCATTTAAATTAAGTACTTTTTTTATTAAATCAACATTATATCAAATATTTGAAACAATTGAAATGTGATGTCACGAAACTTAGGACCCCTCCCACCCCTTGTCACACCATGTCACGCTTTGTCAACCCCCTCCCCCCCTCTTTACGTGTGACGTACTTTATGGATGACCCCTATGATGAGCATTAGTTTGTCTGTTCAACGGAAAGGAGACTGTCTATTCTTTGATGCACGACAAGTTTATTTTATGCTTAACAAGCAGTGCCGTAACTAGCCTTTTATGCGCCCGGTGCGAGCTTTCAAAACTGCGCCCTTGAATAATGCTTGGTCTGGTCATTTCTGCGCCCCTCCAGGGTCTGCGCCCTGTGCCTGGGCACCGCTGGCACCGCCCTAGTTACGGCACTGTTAACAAGGCTGGTATTTGACCACAATCGCACCTGGTGTTAAGTGAGATGCAGTCTAGGATGGTACATTTATCTGCCCTGCAAGTACCGATTTACTCTCGCCTTGAAAAGGCCCGGATTATAGTGTTCGAAGACAGCAGCAGGCAGCGAATTCCAGTGCCTAGCTCGATCGTATAAAAGAGTCATCAAAACGCTTAGTGCGAGCTGGTGGAATGTCACAATATAGGGATGGTACGCTAACCTGCGTCTGGTTCCCCGGTGATGGAAGGGATCGGAGCGGACGGCGAACGATTAATTTACAGATCTACTATATAAAAATAAGTCGGGTTTTCCTCCCTGACGCTATAACTCCAGAACGCACGAACCGATTTCCACGGTTTTGCATTCGTTAGAAAGGAAAGGCTCCGTGAGGTTTATAGCAAAGAAAATTCAGGAAAAATTTCAACAGAAAAGCGGGAAGGGGGTAAAACGGGATCCACGCGTACGAAGCCGCGGGCGGCCGCTAGTGCTCTATAAAATAAATAAATTGTAAGAGTTTCACCAATAAAAGTCTTCAGAATAGCACTTCAACACTTTATTTCACTTTTATTACCAAGTACAAGGCTTGAAGACACGACTGTTCACTGCCGCTCTCTCGCACAGAATGACCAACCTGTCGAGTCGTTTCGCCTTAAGTAAACCGGTACAGGAAGTTTCAACGGTCAATTGAATTACTCGGTAAATCGATTTTGAGTGCTATTAATTCATTGAAATAATTGATTTAAATAATTTTAACTGATAATATAATGCAATACGTAAAGAAAAGTAATATTTTAAATTAAATCTTTGAATAAAATAATAAAAACCTTACAAAATGTTGCAAGCTTAAAAGCACATAGAAATGAAATGTACACAAAACGTGTCAAGAGTGAAACTACTTCTTTTTTTTCGTCGGTACACTCTTGCCAGAGTGGTCGTGGTCGTCACACCCGGTCCGGTGGCAAGCCTCACAATCCGTCGCCATTCCTCCCACACTGCAGCCTTTCTTGTGCACTCGTGGAGTTGACCATCGAGTTAACCGCCTCTGTGGTCTAGTGGTAAGACCACCTGCGTCAGACGCAGAGGTTCCGGGTTCGATTCCCAGTGGGGGCAGATTTTTCTGATCGGTTTGGTTGGTGGTAGGGCTTGTTCAAAGTCCGCCTGGCTAGCTACCACCATCTTACCTAAGTCTGTCGCCATAACAACAATGTTAACTAACAGCATTGTTGTGTTCCGGCAGTTAGAGGTAAGATAGCCAGTTCCTCCGTGGTTGAGAATTCCGGGTGAAGCTCGCTTCCACCTTCGGCCTGATCGTCACTTACCATCAGGTGGGATACAGGCCAAGAGCTTCCTCGCTGTGGATAAAAAAAAAATTGAGTGCGGTTTTGAGCTGGTCAGTCCAGCGCATGGGCGACCTGCCTCGCGCTCTTGTGCCGTCAACCTTCTCCACAAGTGAAACTACAACTGGGTGTTTTGTTGTAGATGCCCGGATCCGACCAAAGCCGGACGAGAGCCGGAAACACAGGCACAACGCGCGGACTATCCTGCACTACTCCACCGCTACGCCCTTTAAGACACACGGCTCAGATTTCGTCTGCTATTTCTGCAACGAAGCATATACCACCATCAGCGAACTAAGAAAACATAACGTCATCCACGCGCACGAATCAAAAGAACTCCACTTCAAAATGGCTAGCGGTTTCAGTCTCAAACTCGACGTGACAGATTTAAAATGTCGTCTATGCAAAAAGAACTTTGACTCCTTAGAAAAATTTACCACTCATATAATCCAACACGGTAAAATTATACATACGGATATCAAAAACGTGATTATTCCGTACAAGTTTGACAAAGATGAGTTCAAGTGTACGCATTGCGATTCAGCGTTTAAATTCTTCAAACATCTCAGCGAGCATATGAGCGCGCACTACAGAAATTATGAATGTGACGAATGTGGGAAAGGCTTTATAAGCCTGCCTACGTTGCGGCAGCATAAGTTAAGACAACACACTATAGGGGATTTCAAGTGTGATATATGCCCAAAAAGATTCCCTACCAAGTCTCGCTTGGCAGCTCATCTGCGAGTCGTCCACATATATTCAAACGAAGCTCACAAGTGCTGGAAATGCTCTAAAATATTCCTAGACGCAGACGAAAAGGCTAATCATGAATTAGAATTTCATTCCGACGAGGCAAGACCATGCATTTGTGATGGGTGTGAGCGTAGATTTGACACTCGGATGAGCTTGAAGCTTCATAAGACCCGTTGCCACTTCAACCAGCCTCAGAAAACATGTCCGGAGTGTGGCATGGTATTTTCTAGAAAAGCAACATTAGACAGACACATGGTGAAACACACCGGGGTCAAAAACTACAAGTGCCCGGACTGTGGGAAGAGTTTTGGCCACCGGCAGAACTTCCAACTGCATTTGAAGATACACAATGACGATTGCAAGCTGCTGTGTGAATTGTGTCCTAGGAAGTTCACAAGGAGGTACAAGTGGAGGGACCACATGGCTTTCACACACAGTATTTATGATTTGTGAATGTTTTGACAGACATGGTATCTATAGGTACTTAAACTAGCGTCCATCCGCGACTTCGTACGCGTGGATACTGTTTTACCCCCGTAGGAGTTGAATTTTATAAAATC